AAGCAGTGGTATCAACGCAGAGTACTGACGCCAGCTATCAAATACGCTATTTGGCTTATAAAACCAGTCGTATGGAGAGTAGTATTCTGAAGAGACAGTAATCCGTTGCGTTAAGAGCTGCGGAAATGTGCATTTTCATAGAGTATAGACCCGCAGAATTTGCAGAATCTTGGGTCAGAATCCCTGCTCGCCCTTCGTATTTGTCGGATGAAGCGACATCCGACTATTACTTGCTTCGGTACCTACACTTTCTTCAAAGACAGCTAGCTCATTGATTTCAGCGCTTAAAAATTAAAATCTCCACCGGTTTTGAAACGCAGCCGACGCGCTTCTTGAGGAAGATAATTTATGGAAGAGAATTCATTTCATTCAATTACTAGTTCAAGGCTGTCAGTATACATGACCAAAATTAGGTTAAGGACAGCCACTGATGAAGATACAGACAAGGTAAACAAAACAGCTCCACCTTCACTGGCAGAACCTTTTGATCATCTTGATATAAAACACGAACTGGCAAGCCAGGCCTCACCGTGGGTTCGATTGGCTCATCGAAGTGCTAAATTGGTGCACAACTTTGAAAGCTTAGCTTATCTGCTTCTCGACTCTCGTCAGTTTCTGTTGTAACGCAGGATAGTCGATAAATAATATGAGGAGTAGAATTTTGCCATAAAAAAAGCCTGCAGGTGAACGAGCATTGACAACACATGTGTGCAAAGTTTGTCGCTGATCGATTCACACAGACCTTTCAATAAACCTAACTAACATATACCAGCACTCGGCTCTATAATTGTGAAGATTGAAATACCACTAATATTTTACTTTGCAGACCTTGTGCGGTTACTATTGTTGCAATATCGTTTGCCTTATATATCATGCGTCCATTTTACTCCACATGCGAGCCACCACCTTACAGCACGGAGCTTATAGCAGGACTGATGATAGGTACCACATTCGCTTAGACAGGTTGACGTTTACTTTTTACAGCTTGAGACATCGTGTCCATGCAAAGCAGTTTTAGAACTGCAAAAGTGATAAAAATAGCTATTTGAAAACTCATTAAAGCATGTTGGAGGGTTCGTCGATGATCACTTTAAAGAAAGCGTTTGGCTGGTGCAGCCAGAAGCCACTCGTCGTCACTTGTGCTCAACACCGCCGACATCTCACTATTTAAACGCATCAGCCATTCGCTCCTCAAAAGCAGTGTCTCACCAAATTTGCATCACTGGTTTTTTGCGAATTGCAGGCCTCAGCTTTTTGCAAATTGCAAGCCCTCGAGCTTGCGTGACCCCATACGAACTCATTTCAAAATCTCAGCAATCCGTTTTCCGAAGCCCTTGTGGGAGCAGAGCGCACGAGTTCTCTCGCTCTACCTTAGCATTGGCCACAAGGTCGAAACGTCAAGAAGTCTGGTGTCGCCTGAAAAGATAAATTGAAACGAACCAGAAGAACCGAGAAGTCTCCGCGCGCGGCAAAATGCTCCTCGCGCCCCACTTTGAGCCCAATTTTCTCGGCATAGGAGAAGACTTATCAAATGGGACTTGAGCATTGGCATAGTAAAGAGTTCCCTGATAAAATCCCTGAAAATCGGTATACCCAAATCTGATAGACACTGCCTTTGAACTGCGTCCAGAGTAATTTGTCCCTTACCAACAAGAGTGCTGGCAGAATTGCATGTCTGGACGCAGCCTTCATGGGGAGCGACAAACACGCCGATTCTCCACTAGGACTAAAAGGGATTCTAATATTTTTGCTTACCACTGCTCGGAATTGAAACATCCAGAATGGTTTGAAACGGAGATCAAACTTGAGGGTTATGGGTCACCACCTCATCAAGAAATGTCTGACTGCTTACCGTTTGAATGCATTAATTGTTGTTACAGTTATTTTGGGTGCTGTTAATTGTTGGTCAGTAAGACTAGCGACAACAGTTCAAGACTGGCTCACTTATGCAAAAGTCATTGCACTCGTTTTAGTTATCTTCACCAGCGCAGTACTGATGATATTTGGTTCGTTGAAGGCTCTTTTGAGCATAGCCAGTAGTAAAATAATCTATGAGCATGGATCTATTTCAGGTGGTCCACAGTACAGAGAATCATTTGAGAACATCTTTGAAAGCAATTTCCGAAGTTTTCACCAAGCATCAGTGGGTTTCTATTCAGGTCTATTCGCTTATCAGGGTTGGACCTACTTGAACTTTATTACCGAAGAGCTCATCAACCCAAAAAGGTTTGTTCTCAGATCAGCTTTGTTGCTAGAGTGCACTTTCACAAGTTTTCCTGCACTTACCAGTAGCACAGTAATAATCAGCGTGTCAATGAATCGCTTTAGACTAAGTTTTGAGCAGATCTGAGTTTTTGGTCTGCCTACGTATACCTAATGTAACCTCAGCAAATCATGCTTCCTCGCAAAACAACGCATATTCGCACCGAGCGGGCCAAATGATTTTTATGGGTCGAACATCGGCCAAACATGTGATTTTGGCCTGCAGTACATCTACCAAGTCACACAGGGTTGAAAAAGGTTTATCTCCTAATCAGCTCTTTTTTCTTGTCCTACTACAACGAGTATAATCCCCTTCAAACCAAAAAAAAAATTTTTTATCCTTGCATCTGTCCCTACACGGGGTCTGCCGCTCTTGTCAGTCTCTTCCATTCTTGTCGATCTATGACTTGTCTTTCATCTAACTCAAGTTCTCTCAAGTCTGCTTTCACTCGATCGGTCCATCTTAGCTTTGGTCTTCCTCGTGGTCTTTTCTCGGGAACCTCCACTGTCATTGCTAACCTTGTGATGTGTTGTTCTTCTGGTCTGCTGACGTGCCCGTACCATCGCATTCGTCTTTCTTGCAGCTTCTTGACTATCGGAGCTACTTCCATGGTGGATCGTATTGTATCGTTCGTGACGTGGTCGAGCATCGTTACGCCCATCGTCCATCGCAGCATACGTGTTTCCATCACACCAAGCTTCCTCTCGTCGTTGCGTGTGCTTGGCCAGCATTCGCCTCCATACAACGCGGTTGGACGGATTACAGTGCGATACATCTGTGACTTCAGCTTCAGTGGCATCCGTTTGTCGCACAGAATTCCTGTAAGGCTCCTCCATTTCATCCAAGCTGCGTTTATTCGGCCGTTTATCTCGTCGTGGAGTGAACCATCTGCTGATGTGCAACTTCCCAAGTATTTGAACGACGTGGTCTTCTTGATTGCCGTGTCTGCGAGCTTAATCGTTCCTGGCGTTTGAGGTCCCAGCTCCATGTATTCTGTCTTCGCGGTACTGATCTTCAGACCATGTAGCTCGAGTTGCGTTTTCCACGTCTGCACGTCAACCTCCAATTCTTTCCTGCTTCTCGCCATCAGGATCACATCGTCTGCGTACATGACGGACCATGGGAGCGGGCGTATGAAGTCTCTTAATATCGTGTCCACGACTGTGATGAAGAGTAGTGGCGACAGTACGGAACGTTTATGCACGCCGGCGTTTATCTGGAAGTCGTCTGAGCGTCCCGCTGCCGTTCGTACGTGGCTGGGGCTCCTTTGTATATCATTCTGATCCAGCGAACGTATTCTTCTGGTACCTCGTGCTTCCGTAGTGCCCACCATATTCGGTGATGTAGTACTCTATCGAACGCTTTCTCCAGATCGAGAAATGCCGCATGAAGCTCACACTGCTTTTCCATGCTTCTTTCCATCATTATTCTGATTGTGTGGATGGCATCGTTTGTATTGCATCCCTTTACGAATTGGTGGGGGGGGGTCAATTGTATGATACTTCGAAGCCGCATTTTCAGTATTCTTTCGAAGATCTTCAACGTATGGCACGTGAGTCGAATTGGTCTGTATGTATGTGGAGCAATCGGCTATGTCGCCTTTGTTCTTCCATATTGGTACTGTCGTGCTTCTGTATCACTCGTCTGGCATATTCCCGGATTCTATCATCTGGTTCAAAAGTCTTGTAAGCCACGAGATTCCAGCTTGTCCACACTTCTTCCAGAAGTCGCTGGGAATGTCGTCTGGACCTGCTGCTTTGCCGTTCTTCATCTTCATTATGGCGCTACGGACTTCAACTTCTGTGATCGCTGATACTGGTCCATTCACAGGATCGGCTGTTATGGTGGACTCATATTCGGAGTTAGCGGACGCCATCTCTGCGAAGTAAGCTTTCCATCTTTCATTTATCTCCTGTGGCTTCCTCAGCATTCGTCCGTGTGCATCCTTGATGTTGCAGAAATGTTCGATGTCTTTTGTAGCGTTTGCTCTTCTTCTGGCGATCCGAAGACGTCTCGTTCGCCTTCGCGAGTGCGTACTTCCTGTACAACTCGGCTACGTATGCTTTTTTTTTGCCTCTCTGACACTTCTCTTGGCTTCTCGTTTCGCTTCCAGGTAGCTCTGATGAGCATCTTCTGATCTTGTCTTCTGCCATGTTCTGTATGCCGACTTCTTGTTCTTGACCACGATCTGCACTTCGTCATTCCACCACCATGTTTCCTTCTCAAGCTTCCGTCTTCCGGGCTTCGTGCGGCCTAGCAGGCCGCCAGCTATTTAATGGATGTCGTCTTTAAGAAGCATCCGGAAGTGGTTGGATCACTTTGCAGTATCGGCAGGGCATTTCCATTGACGTTCTGGTTTGGGCGTTATCTTCAAGCTTTCACCTTTGATATGTACTTCTTGTTCGGTCATCGCCCTTCTTCTCCTGGGTATTGAGATGCAGTATCAGTGGTTGATCACCTGGGATAACTTTGCTATCTTTTACATATTTGAGCTCGTTGTATCGCACGCTCCAGAAGTCTATCTGCGATTTGTGGTTGGTCTCCACTTGTATACGTGACGAGGTGGTTGGTCTTCTTGATGAAGTACGTATTCACCAAAGCTAGGTCGTGGGCTGTAGCGAACTCCAGGATACGTTCTCCTTCGTCGTTACGTAATCCGTAACCGTGATTTCCATGGCACTTCTGTAGACCACTTCGTTGTTCTCCGACATGCACATTAAGATCCGCACCGATCAGTAACATCTCTTCTTCTGGTATTGAACTGACGTAGTCATCAAGCAGCTGCCAGAATTCTTCCTTCTTCACCTCTTCACATCCCACTTGCGGTGCGTAGGCCGTTACTACTCAAAGCGCTTTTCTCTTGGTATCCAATCTTATGCTCATGAGGCGGTCACTCATTCTATCTACACTGGTAATCTTATCTCTTAGTGCTTCAGAGACGACTATGCCGACACCGTTCCTGTTGTCCGTCGTTCCTTTGTGAAGCTTGTAGCCATCTCCGATGTCACGCGCTTTTTCACCTTTCCATTTGGTCTCCCGAATACATGCGATGTCTACTCTACGTCTTATGAGAAGATCGGCTATCGCGATGTCGAGCTGTGAGTGAACCGACGTTGACAGTAACTAGACGTAATGCCGAGAACTTGGATGCTTTCCTTCAAATCAAAAATGAACCACGCGAATGTTTTGTCGCACGCAACACCTTCCCGTTGCGGTTGTTCATTATTGCTTGATTCAAGCCATTGAAGCTGAACGGACTGTAACTTGCACCTATACGGTGTGATTTTCATATCTGAAAGCACCCGAATGTAGGAGACAGGGACGGCTGCAAACTCAGTAATGCACCATGCTCGACACCTGCCCGAAAAAATGTTGGGTATCAGTTTCCCTTTAGACAAAGCCAAAAGCACAGATCAAGATATTGGCTTCAAGCGTGGCGCGAGGATCGAATCGGATTAACGTGGGAACTTCTTACAAACAAATTTGCAGAAACCTACCACTTGCTGTTATGTACTCATGTATAATCTGTACTGCTGTTTATACCCTCTTCAATGTCGCTTTGTATGTCGTAATCTCACCTGAAGAGATGCTTATCAGCCCTGCAGTTGCTGTGGTGAGTTGCAAATCAGCGTAAATCGAAGTCGTTGCAAATCTGAAGTCTGAACTAACAGTTCGAGGGAGCTCATTGTCAGACTAAGTTACCGCAAAAGACAAAGCTCAGCGTTTGCAGCTCTATGCTGACAAGGTGTACGGCTATTTTTCGTTCATAATGCCGTTATGTGTAGCTGCCTCAACCGTCGGTGCTGCAAATGGTATTATTATGACTAGTTCAAGGTAAGCCACCTTAGCACTTACTACCCCAAGCGCTCTTCTGTAAAAATGTGAAAAACGTCATGCTAGAATCAGAAAGTTGAACTGAGAAGAGAAATCTTGCTTTGCTGTGCTGTTTGCTATGGACAGTTTTCGAGTGCCGCATTCAGGACGTTCAGAACGTTTAATTTCTCTCATTGCCAACTCTTGGCTCACTACCATTAAAGAAGCGTACGCATAAACTATGAAATTATTTAGCGAACGCGAATGCGAACGGGTAGAGGACTATATGTCGCCGAAATGGGGCGGCCCCCGCGGTCGTCTGCAACAGATGTGCACCCTTTCGCGTGCACGAAGGTGCTATTCTGCAAGAAGTCTGCGCGGGACCCTCTCATATTCGGGTATATATAGTACCGTACCGTATAGTATACTAGCCGACATCCCCGGCCCAGCCCGGGGAATGGTAAGACCGGCCTATCATAGTTATCGAAGAGTTTCGTAACTCATAATTCGTCCCTTTTTCTTCATTACTGATTCTTGTAACCCTTTCCTTCTTCCTTCCTGCTTCTGCTCCTGGTTTGTATTTCAGCAGTCGTGGTACCCGCACTAACACTAATTGTCTTCCTTCTTGACTGCCTCGCTTCATGACACCTCATCCTCCTCACCACAAAATGCAAATGATCTTTACCGCTCCTTACTACTTGGAGAAATGAATGATGTGCTTTCATTCTCCTAGGTGTTAGTAAACAAATCAATAAATCGATAGAAGGACACAGTGAATCGTCGCGAAAAGTAGCCTATCTTCTGCGCCGTGGCTTGTTTATAGGGAAAAGAATTTCAGCCTCTTTGGTTCACATACAAAGGAGGTCTATAAGACACAAACATCCTAATCCTAACAAACAAAGGTACAGTGTTTGAGTTTTATATATATAGATAACCGCGCCAAGCTCTCACAGGGGCAGTGGGTCCGCAAGCAACCCGATGCAAGTCGTCCATGAAATATGGTAGCGAAGTCTGGTGGAGACAAATATCTCTGTCGGGATTGCACTATAGGCTCCTGCAAGACGAAGGCGGTCTGTTCAATGTGCGACGTGGCTGTGACGCGGCTGTGACGCTGCTGTGACACAGCCGTGTCGCAACCGCGTTGCACATCGGACCGACCGCCTTCGTCTTGCAGGAGCTTATATCTGATTGTGAGCTGCCGTTTAGACAGCTTCTTACAGCGTCTTGTTAGTGAGGACCCCAAAAAACATTTTCCACATGTTATCCCCGTGTCCAGATTTGCCTGGAATGCTGCCTTTAAGCAGCTTACTGCATGTCTATCTCTGCAATCCCCAAGGCTTCCTCTTCTTCAGTGTGATCTGTTGCTTTTTTATCTATGATGGGTGTATTGTCGCTTCAAGAGAACTAAGAATTTGAGCATCGTTGTCGACAGCCTTTATTTTTTTGAAGAGTATTAAGGAACTGTGAAAAACTATCTTCTATAGAAGATGGTACTGTCTTGTAACAATAATCAAAAAAAAATTACCATACAATCCTTCCGCGAAGAAACCAGCGATCTGCCAGGTTTTCAAAATCAATATGGCCATTTGTCTCACCCAATTCAAGTAATTGAATTCTTGCTAAATGAGTTACCACCAATGCACGGAGTTGCAAAGCCTTCATAGGGCAATATTCAGATTTTTACTATCAGATTGATGGAAGACGGCTAAAAAGTCTTCATGACCTTGTTGCAGATTGTTTTACGTTGGAGCTCGCGAAGGTCAGATGCCGGTAGTGCTGACCATGATAAACAAAAGGCTACGCACGCCAATACCAGCCGTTATCTTTACGGTAAATCAAGTTTGGAAATTGATGACTTCATTCAACCTATCATCTTACAGTGTCTCGTGTCTATCGGATATCTGTTCATATCCAGTAATCTTTACGTTCTTATAAACGCAAGCCAAGTGACGGCTTGGCTTGCAATTACCGTTGTAGTTATAGCATTATTAAGGCTCCGTTGTAAGTATCCGTACGCAGAACGGACAGTGAAGGTATGTTAGGAATGGACTTTCGTAATTATCAAACTGAGCACTTGAAATGTGGTCTGGACAGAACAGAGGTGCATTATATGCGAATTAGCCTTTTTCACTTGTCGTACACGTGGGGTTGCATAACCACCTTATTTGCGCCTTCAACTAAGGTATACTGTGATTCTTTCTCGTCGCTGAAATAGAATATGAATGTGGTGGCGTATGATACGGCTTCTTACATCGCTCTCCGTACCTTACCTTTTCAAGAGAAATATTTGATACTATCTTAATAAAAAAAATCTTTAATTCAACTACATCTATAACATAGTAGAAAGCATCCAGTGGATGAGAATTTAGTTGTACGGTTTAGCCATCTGTATATTACAGCTATAAGTGTATACTATAATAGCTCAGTTAAGGTCCCTCTATGGTTAGCGATTATATTCGTTATTGGCTCATCTGTAATAGTCGTTCTACCGGTATTTGGATCTCCAGTGGATACAGGTATGTAGGAGGAAAACATCGTTCGTTCTTCTTTACGTTTGGGTCGTTACCGCTGTGCAGAAACCGAGACCCAGTTTAAATTGCTGCAATGTTCGAGTTCAAGATGTGATTAATTCCCATACTCGCTCCAATCAACCTGACCTGCTAGCTATGTTGGACAATGAGTAGTTGCAATGCATTCCGAGAGATTTAAGCACTAAATTGTCGGATTTCTTCCAGCAAAATGCTTTCATGACTGACCCCATCCTGAACCCACACGAGGGTCGCAAGGCCACCTAACGAGCATCTTCGCACATCTCACTTTTCGATACTGTATTACCTTGTTCCTGTTTTGTCTAACAAGGTATCGCCAAGTCGAAGTGGCTGATTGCCACAGGATGCATACCTTTACAAAGAGATTGAAGTGCTGACTTCAGATATGCCTATCTTATCTGCAGCACGCTTTTGGGAAGGAATGCGTGGTTTTGAGTGATTAAAAATGATGAAAATCGTTCAAATTGCTTCTTCCGTTAGGGGATAAACTGAAAAAAGCCAGTATCATATCAAGCATATACAAACCGTTCCAAGCCGGTTTGAATCCAAAATGCTTAAGCGTTGATAATCCTGGCTACTGCCTTACAATTTTCCCAAAGGTAGAAGTCCATAACCTCCCTCCCAGAAGCGTTCCGCAGATATGAAAAGCAGATGTGGAATCAGCGCTTCAAGCTTTTTATTATGATATGTACGTTGTAGTCGGCCACTTCGACTTTGCGACCAGCTATTTTCTAGAGTGTACGAAAAGTCCGTTTTTGACATTCTCAGCCGCTGTGAAGTACATATTGAGCTCAACGCGACTAAGCTCAAAAGAGACAGAAAATCTTAATCCGGCTGCTTATTTTTGAAGGTAGTGTACAGGACGTTGCAAAAGTCTTGCAACCTAATTTTCTACCTGAATTTTTCTTGTTTTCGATTTTTCCATCGGCTTATTAGACGTTTCAAAGAAATCATCGGCTTGTTCTTGATTTACTATGTACGAAGTTGACAGATACCGTTTTGCGTGCGAGCCAGTCAGGATTCAGAGGGAGATTGAAGAGATCACTGGAGTTTTGCATAGAATCATCCATTACACCTCGTCGTGAGACATGCAGTGTCAAGAACCGTAGGAGAAATGAAAGACTAGGGATCGCAGTCACTCCCGGTAATATCAAAAAGGTCATAGAAAGGCCGCCGCAATCCGAAGAGTAGCCTAAAATGGCCGAAGAGTTGAATATTCCTGAGGCTTCAAGATGGATACGGCACAACTTTGACAGAAATGATGAATGCTTTCTCAGACAATGGATCGGACCCCTCCGCTGGGCAAGCCGAAACTGCCAGACTCGCGCCGGACCCAATTGACCAATGAGAGCGGGGCAAATGGGCGGTCCCTCGCGTGACATCACTGCCAGGCAAATGGGAGGCTTCTCCGGCCCTGCTGCAAAGGTCCGCCATTTCTCCGGCGCGACCCTGGCAGATTTGCCAGGCTCGCGCCGGACAAATTTGTCCGGCGCGAGCCTGGCAAATCTGGCGGAGTCGCGCCGGAGAAAATGGGAGGGGTCCGGAGCAGAAATGGGAGGTATCCGGAGCAGAAAATGGGGGGTATCCGGAGCAGAAAATGGGGGGTATCCGGAGCAGAAGATGGGAGGTATCCGCCGGAGAAATGGGAGGTATCCGGAGCAGGCTGCGTATCGATTTGGCGCGTAGCAAGCAAACGTCTAACTCCACGGTGATGAGTCCTCTGTTTACGCTCTTTGTCCATATTTTAGTCGCCGTTTATTTGATTCTGTTGTTTTTTTTGCGCGTTTCTTTACCGTTTTTTCCTTTTCCGCGTTGCTCTTCGTCGCGTTGGCGTTTATGTTGCTGTAAGTTCCTCGTTTTCAGGTTTATGTTTGAAATTTTCGTGCGGTTGCACTCAATCACCTTCAGTGTTTGGCTCTTTCCGACTTGCTGAGACATCGTAGACTATTGATGGAGTGGTTTTTGTGATTAATTCTGGATTTTCGAAACAATGAGGTTAGTTGCGCAACTATCTAGTGTTGTTGTGATGAAAGTATCGTCTGAATAATCCGTTTATTGGCTATAGTGTGGACCCCGGCCAGGTTCCCATAGGTACCTCCGCGGCGCGCCCGCAGCGCATGCCTTCAGTGCGCTTTTCGTTTCGGCTCTGAAGGGATTTCTTTCAATTTCCTCTTTCAAGTGTGTTTGTTCTCTTCTGTAATCTCTACGTTAGATGTAAACGACACACGTCAACTGCTGGTGATGGATTTTTACGAGTCTTGACAGTCTTGCAAGCATTTGTTTCGAAAATCTTGTTTTTTTCTCAATAGTGAAGATTTCGGTGTAGTTCAGAGACATCTCTCCAAATGTTCAGAATAAGTGTATATGCAGTTGATTTTGTGGAGTGTAGATGCTTCTAGCCTTTTGTTACACCATCAGAGCTTTGCAATCGTGCTCTTGAGCTCAAACTTTCTGGGTTTTTTTTATGAACAGAAGGAAGACTTTTCAGAATTGTTCTTCGACTTTTCCTGTTACTTCTATCATCCATCGCTGGTAGTGTCATACACTACTAGCGATGGATAATAGAAGATTCCAGTTATTTATGAGATTGACTGGAATCTGAGCGCTAGTAGTAGAAGTTGTGAAGGTTCTCCTATTGCCTTGGCTTTTCTCGTGTTCGGATTAGAGGCCTCCACATCTCATTTCGGTTATAATGTTTTCGGTTATAATGCTTTTTTGTTCGTAAGTGAAATGAGAAGTGTTCAAGTCGGGCGCGCGTTGCGTGTGCGCCGCGCTAGTACCTGAAGCTGGCCGGGGTCCACACTATCTCTCTCGTACGTATGCTTACCAAGTCGATCGACTTTTCATCAGACGTTGCAGATCCTCACTATATCGTTTCTGGCTTGAAAGATAGGACAAGGCAAGAGATATGTTGACAAAAGTCTTGGAGGCAACTCCAAACGATGTTGAAGTTTTGTGACTGTTACTGAAGCATTGTGACTGTTACTGTTGCTTAGTCACATCACATTGCTTCCAGTATTGCTTAGCGAGATTAGGGACTGATAAGGCTAGGTAAGCATGTAAATGTGAAATGTTTGAGTCACATAGCTTCTTCTTTACTGTTTATGTGACTTTCAATTACAATTTGCAGAATCGCTTTTGAACGAGCGTTGGAATTGCAAAATGACAATGTTTGTGCTCTCTCAGCACTTGCCATTTTGGATTACAATACGCATACTGTCGAGGGAGCCCAAAGTGCAGTGGCTTGTCTAGGCCAAGCGTATAGTCTGGAGCCGGAGAATCCGGTTGTCTTGGTCCATCTTGCCAACCACTTCTTCTTCAAAGGAGTCAGTGCAGAAATTTTTTGAATTAATTACGAATTATCTATAAAAGGGACCTTTTAAATTTGTCCAAGCTGTTACATCGAGGTGTTTATCGCTTTATCTGAAGGCATCACTTTTTCAGGAAATGAACAAGGTTGAACGGTTAGCGTGGCATGCAATGAGTATGACGGAAAGTGACGAAATCAAGGCCGAAGCTTGTTACATTCTTGCGCGGTTTTTCCATTTCAACAGAGACTATGAAAAGGCGTTCAAGGTAAGTTGCATATGCAAGAATTTCAATCCATGTCATCATCGTGTCCTAGTACTATTATCAAGCAACTACGTTGAATCATCCTACTTTCGTTTTGCCCCAGTATGGCCTTGGACCTCGGAATTCGAAGATGTTTGGATGAATATAGCTCATGTATATATCGCACTTGGACAATATGTCCCTGCTTTGCAAATGTGAGTTTATGGCGTTCCTCGCTGTTTTGTTTCATGTTGCACAGAATACTTTTTTGATCTTTTTGTCATTTTCTTACCATGTTAAAACCATATGCTTATACTGTGGTGGTTTGGTTCTTTTTGCAACTAGGAAATTAGTTTTTCTTTGAATATTCTTATCACTCCTAGTATGGTTTTTGTAATATGAATTAACTGTTGTACGTATGCTGGAGATAGATAGATAGATTTTTCGAAAGTTTGATAAATTTGAAATAAATGTCTTATCTCTTCGTTCTTTCTTCTATCTTCTATCCACAAACGCTAGGGGTGAGAGGGAGGGGGTAGAGTACGGGGTGAGGGTCGCGCTAAACTCCTACCCGGGGGGGGGGGGGTCCTATTCGGCTTATTTGGGTGGGGTTTAGAGACAAAATTGGGGTTTGGAGCTTAAAGGCAGCGTCCAGGCAAGTCGGGACCTATGGGGATTTTACATGGAAAGTATTTTGGGGCCCTAACTAAGCCACTACCCAACCGGCAGCTCAAGTAGTGCTCTAACGCCTGAGATATTCTGCTCGAAACCGGACCCCGCGACCGTGTTTCGCATGGATTCAGGGCGCAAAGAGTGGATCCTGGCGCGAAACTGCCATGAATCCATGCGAGTACGTTCGCGGGGGTCTGTTTCGAGGGGAATATCTCAGCCATTGGAGCACTACCTGAGCTGCTGCTTCGGCAGTGCCTTAGTTAGGGCCCCAAAAGTACTTTCCATGTAAAAGCCCCATAGGTCCAGATCTGCCTGGAAGCTGCCTTTAATTAGGGCTAATTACAGTATGCCGCGATCGGGGGGCTCCGGCGCACAAAATCGGGGGGCTCCGGAGCAGAAAATGGGAGGTATCCGGAGCAGAAAATGGGGGGTATCCGGAGCAGAAATGGGAGGTCTCCGCCGGAGAAATGGGAGGGCTCCGCCGGACGAATGGGTGACCCACCGCTGGGGAAACGCCGCGACCCTGCCATTTCCCCAGCGGAGGGGTCCGATCCATTGTCTGAGTTTAAGTGCAAATCCGCCGCGAACTGCTAAAGCGTTTCCAAAGGCACGTGTCAGCGGCATCTTATTTTCGATTGAACATGCCTACAACCATCAGAATGACAGAAACCTGCTCGATCGGTTGAGGAAACAGATGAGGTTGGCTGTTACGTATATAGGAAGTGACAGCCTGTTCCACTTATGACTGCACGTTATGACATCAACGAGCAAAGCACCACTATTTTGTTAATAAAGAAGTGATCAGTACTCAAGCTTATTTGGATGATATTTTCTTGAGTGCTTCTTTGGAGCCAGAATCACTTTGATGGTCATGAATGGAGTTTCAGCAAGCCTTTGCGTCGGCGCAGAAGGCCAAAGTCGTCCAGTCGTTGTGCAGAAACGACTTCTCTTTTCTGTTTTCCCGTTCTGCCCTATGGTCAAGTAATAACTAAGCGGCACGCATTATTGCGGGATGAGCTCAAAGGTACCGTCCACCCTAAGTTAGGGGTTTTGAGCTTTTGGAAGCTTACAATAGTAGGATCTCTATCAAGCCAATGCCCAAGTCGCGGCTTAAAATGTCGCTTCTGAAAATCGTTTTGGAATAGTGAAGAGGCATGGAGTCTAAAAGTCGGCACCGCCCCCTCCAGTAATGCCCGCCTATGGCCTCGGACAGACTTCACGCGATTTGATCGTCGCGACTGAATCGCGACGAGACAACTGTTACAACATCATTCCATGCCGATCAACTTGCATTTCGGTTGTGAGACTTTTCCAGCCCGAAATTTTTGAATGTGAAATGAAAATGAATGGAAATGTCGGCGATTGAGTCGCGACGATCAAATCGCGTGAAGTCTGTCCGGGGCCTATCGGTGTGCGCCCATCCAACCACTGTTCCGGAGACCGATTGCGGGTTCTCCGGAACGGGGATTGTTGGCGTTTTTGCGGATTCTCGACTCCATTTTCAGAAATCAGGAACATGATTCCTATTTAAGTGGTGATTGTGTTTAATAATTCCGTCTTGTTTACCAATCAAGATTGGGTCGCCCTCATCGAAAGCGCAGTTTTCACATCTACCACATGTCACCGAGTAGCCTCGACCAACTAAACAAGGTTTTTACTGTGACGGTAGATAAATGACGTACAAAGCATTACGAGGCTTTGCAACTATACTCGATCGATGTGCACTCAGAACAGTAAAGAAATCACACAAAGTTTACACAAGTTGATTAATAATTAGATAACCTGTACTAGATACATCTTTTCAGCTATTGGCTTAGCTATACTTTTCTCAGCTGTGCCCATCTACTTTGTTTTTATCGGCACTAATGTAGTTCCCAACCTTATAAGAGGAGCCACCGGTATGTTATTTTAATCTAGTGAATGAAAATGGAATCTGAAATTTCCAGAAGGATTCACCATATTTTTGCAAAAGCTGTTTATGGTGTTTGACGACAATGAGTATAACAAGGATTAATATTGCTCATTAGCCTGAAATGTTTTTCTGATATCAGAACAAATACTCACATTATTGAGTTGTTTTTAAGCAAATTCTTTGGTTGTTCGGTGTTTTATGAATAGAAGGGCTTTCAGTAAAGTAATGAAAAGTTAAAACTCTTGCATTAGCTAGTTCTGCTGAAAACTTGCACTCCTTGAAGAGGACTATCAAAAGATCGGAACATAGAAGCTATGCTGGCGCCTTTGAGAGCTTTTAGAGAGTGAATTGAAGCTTTTGTATTTATTCTTTCCAGATCAATCTCAACTTTGAAAGAGCAACAACGATGAGGTGAGTGTGAGTCCATGCGAAAAACAGTATGTAAAGATCGACTACATCAATAAAGCAATGTCTCACCCTTGTTCTCATGAGTGTGCCATTATGTACAAAGGATAGAATATTCCCGTCATAAGAGAGATCTAAGCGGACTGACTAGCGCAAAATTTTCTGTGATCATAAATCAATCGATTAAAAAAATTCTAGAGGATGTCTAAAGAACATGTAGGAATGTCTATTCAGAACTTTCTTATAATTGAAATGGAGTTCAAATTAATGAGCTGAGTGAAAATGTTACAGATAGAGATCATCAGGATGTGTAAAATCACAAGCATTTTGAGTAGTTGGTCATGTTTGATCCATAGATGGGAAAATTTCTTTGCAGTGCTGCATTGTTTCCACCAGTAGCAAATCCACCGTAGCCCATGGTCGACGGGTTAAAAAAGGCACCACTTGTCTGAAAGTATAGTATTTCGCATCACAGATTCATTTGAAGTTTCAAAATCGTTGGATTGTCAATCTAAGAAAATTGTCTACCTGTAATCCAGTTGGTATTAGTGATCTGTAGTTTGCCGACCAACCGCCCTGCATGAAGTCCTGCTGTAGTCGATTTACGGTTTGAGGTGAAAGGTAATCCGAGCTAGCACCACCAGACTGAGGTTGGAGCGCTTGGGCTATTCCTTAAATAAATTGATACTCAGTTGATGACCAAATGAGCGGTCAACAGAACATCCACAATCAATAATTTCTCTTTTCCATAACCTTTATTTCTTCCACCTTACTTTGTACTCACTTCCTCTTTTTTGCTTAGGTGCTAGCGTGCATTTCTCACATAACCACAAAGATGTCAAAACCTTACAAAGCCAATGAAAAAATTTGTGAATTTTGTTCTCAACCTTTCCTCACAAATTCGCCTCTCTATTCACTCCCCACACCCCCCCCCCCCCACCCCCGCCCCTCACGCCTAATTCTCTGGTTATTACAGACAGAAATGGTTTGTCATTGTTGCAAGTGTCTTGTACAAAACAAAAGTAGCAGCAGTTAATGAGAAGAAGAATAATATTCTCATAAAAAGGCGCTTTCGTTATTCAAAGCAAAAAAAATTGAAAACTGTTTCGTAAAAAATGAGTAATCAAAATAACTTCAACTTGCCTTGGAAATCAAACTTGTATGCGTATCGCTTTCCATGTACTTTACACATGATATTTTTATCGTAGTAGTAGCGTAGTGCTCGTGACATTTTGTCATAGTTCATGTTCGGTTTTGATTTCCTTTCACCCCATTTCCTGAAATGCTCATAAATCCCTTTGTCTTATTTTTTTACAAAAGAAAATAGCACAGACCTGGCAACTTCATCCGGATCAACAAGCTTGAATTCTCCCTGAGTGCCTTCCCAGGTGATCACGTCATCGTATCTTTTATCGGCCAAGAGTTCAAGAAGAAACTGCCATAACTGTGTTTGGCCGCTTCCTGGAATGGTGCCCATTAGGACGTAAGTGCATTCAATAGTACAAAAGTACAAATTGCGAACTGCGAACCCACCAGAGTGCGCCAGACGACTGCATGTCGGACCAAGAATTTGGTAGGGATCTGAAATGAGAGTTTAAGTCCCATAAAAATCTGCTTATCATTAGGAAAAATTACCAAATAGTAGACATGAATGCACCTAATAGCTACTTATTGCTCTACTTGCCCAATATATCTAACCCTAATTTAACAAATTATGCCTAAAAGTTTCAACGGTGGAGTTAGATGCATTTTCGTATTATGTAAGTGATGCACTCCTTATTTCTCGAAAATGTGGGATAACCTCTTTCTGTGAGGGCACCTTACTCTTATGTAGTAACATATATGTAATTGAATTTATGAACAAGCCGAGAAATACACGAATATGAATCAAATTTGTCAGCGTGGTGAGGAACTGGTATTTGTGGCAGTACCATCTCTGTGTTTCTCCTTGAACCACCAAGTCGCAACAGCTGAGTTACCGTAATCAATCCCTTTACCTCATTCACTTACTCCCCTAAACTTCAATCTCAACCCTCGACATAACGAAGTGAAATGTCATCTCATCAGTCGGCTCTTGTCTTGCATCACGCGATTGTCCTCGCCCCACCACTTAACTCTCCCTTCGTCGGAATCCTCAATCTATCTCTGCACCACGCCCTTTTGCACACTCTTCGCCAACTCTCTAATCGCGTCTGAATCGAATTCGGCTGTCGCCCTACTGATTTACTGAGTCAAGAATTGCCCTAATTGGCATACATAAGCACTGCAACAACTACAGTAGCAGGAAAATTCCAGTAAACGGATTAGAGCTTAATTAGCAATGTTATGTAACGTAATTTGTCTCGCTTGGCTTGTCGTAGCTGTAGAGGTCGTTAAGGTCAACGCTCTTGTCTCGAACATTTGCTAAGCACAGCTGTGCCCAGTTAGACGGTGTTAAATCACACAGGTGGAAGCACGAACGTGGGCTAGGTGAATAGTGAACAATTAGGGCCAAGAAAAGAACACGACCACCTGAGACTGCTTGCTAGGTACGAGATTACTCATGCGAGAGAAGCGATTAACATTAAGCATATGGTCGATAGGGACAACAAATTGTTTTTCGTGACCTTTACCAATACTCAACAATTTCGCTCACAATTGAGAGTTCAGGAAAAGGTGTCATTAAAAAATTCCCAATTTTTCTGATTAGCAACCTTTAGCGATCTTATGTATACGAGGGCTTGATATATCGAAGACTTTTTGCAATGGAAACTGATCAATACGAAAATATAATGGAATAAAACATATTTGGAAAAAGCACTAGATTCCGCACTTAGTTCAAAAGTTTAGAATATATAATCAAAAACCTGCTGTACTGTAAAGATCACAAGCATTTTGACAAAATGCACCTTATAGGTAGACTCCATCCTGGCAGTCACACAACATTCAAATAAGAAAGAGTGTAGAAGCATGGCAAAAGAAAGTGTTGAGCGAACGGAAATTCTTGAAACTACTGGAACAAGAACGATAGGTATTTCTCCTTATTAGATCCTCCCAATTTTTGAAAAAAACACTTGGCGTTACTGCACTCCTTCTATTTATTTTGATTTTCAGTTATTTTTCCAAATTATAAGAAACGCAGCACAGTACTTAGACGAAAGCTACGAACTTCGGCAAGCACATAGATGACTCTGCAGCTGAGTTTGGGCCTATGCGAAAGAATCTTTGAATATCTCGATTTTCAGTACAGCCCAAAATGTCATTCATGCCTACATTTACCTAATCCTTGAATATTGCTTTTCAATAACAAAACGCAAACAAAGTCTTGAGGTTCCTGTGACCTTGTGAGTGACTTTTGTCCTAATAAAAATCTTTAGCAGTCTAGCGCACTATGCCGAGCAGCTCCTTCACCTCTCTGACCCCATCATTGCTTCTCGGCCACTGTCTAAGCGCTTTCAAGTGCTGCTTTCGGATGCAGTCTATCATTACGGCTAGAAGCGGCTCAATCGGCTCATAGACAATTGTTTCCAGCTCTAATGCACGGCTTAGAGTAGGTGTTAAGTGGTTAGGCGGTCGCTAGCGTTTGGCCGCGGCCACCTGGTTGTCGGCATCTTCTGACCAGCTGGTCGCCGCCAGCGCCCAGTTGCATAAGAGAGTCGTGTCAATTGACCTGATGTCAAGGAGCTGGGTTATGAAGGAAAACCGATTCTTGAATTGGGATCCTCTCCTTCCCATTCCCGTTCTGCTCTCTGCTGTCCTGACGTCCACGGTAATTGTCATTACCGTCGTGCGCATGATTGCACTTGTTCTAGCACTTCGTTATAGGCGCTCGCCCTGACGCATACGTCGCGAGGCGCGGCCTTCCCGGAAACGAACTTTATTCGATTGCCTCCTCTTCGGAACTGATTGAATGTCAACGCTTCAACTGTGATATTTTTGGAGTTTTGAGTGAGAGTGTTCATCATCGACCCAAAGGTCATATTGTTTAGAAAGATATAGAAGAAAAGTTTCTAAGCTTTCTTTAACTGGCATTAGAAGATGAAGAAGAAAGGCATCTTTGAACTAGACATTTCTTTTACTCCGCGACTCACCGATAGCTACTCATGAACAGGCTAGAGCGGCTTAATTGGTGACAGAAATTAAATCGTGGTTAATTGAGGTTTTTTTATTTGTATCCAAAAACATTTGGCAACATAACGTCGCAAAAATTTCTTTGATTAAACCACATCGGCATCTGAAATTCAATGCTCGCATCTCGGCTGAGAGACACTATATGAAATGCTAGCCTAAATCACAAGTCTTCTTCCTCTCATTCCCACCCCAGATACCTTTTCTGCATCTGCGGAAATTCCATGCCGCCAACACGAAAAAGCGCACAACCGTCATGCAGGGCATCGTGAAATGTTTGCCTAGTGGATTATTCTCGCTCACTGATACAGTAATCCGGCCAGCCCCAGCTGTGTGTCCGCTGTCCCCCCGGCTTTGGTGAGCCGACGACAGCGATGACGACTGGCAGCAGCGCTGGGGCCCCTCACAGACGACGATGTGAGTGCGCGAGCGTTTAGCGCATAATAGACCAATTAAACTATCAATATCGCCTACGGTAACCAGGTAATCGAGAGGCTTGGGTTGAGCATGAGAGGTGGGCGAGATTGATTGCAGTAGCAGAGGTAGCCTGCCACAAAGTGACATGAAATGCTTCAAGCCTACTTCGCGAAACACACTTGAAGAAGAGAATTAGATAACACAAGCGAGAACTTCCAGAAACTGCCTATGGAGAGCCAGCCGCTATATGACCACAAGCTGGCACAAGAGCTTTCAAAGATGTTCTTTTTGATGAAAAAGGCTCTTAAAAACTTGCTCAGTTAAGACAGCTTACGCCCAAGAAGTATATGAAACATTTTCTGCTAAATATACTCATTGAAGCGTGGTAGTGTTGTTCTGTCTGGACAGCTCCGGCCCACAGCCAAAACAGGAAGCGAACGAAGATTGGAGCTCACTACAGACTGAATTTGTTTGTCATGCTTCTACCGTAGCCGTCAGAGTTAAAGTTGCCTTTTTGAAGCAGCGTTTCTATCGATAGATGATTTGGAAAGGGAAATTTGCTAGTATTCATAATGCAGTTTGATCAGTCATGGAACCGGGTTCTTAACCTTTAGAAGTGAGCGTAATTTGAGTTCGAAATTGTAATGATTTCGGCAGATAGATTTCTTGGGGGGAGGGGGAAGGGAAGAGGGTAAGTGGAATTATCTACGGCTGAATATGTAGTCAAGTAGTTATGTAAATGAGTTGAAATAATAATAAATGAATGAAAGAGTTATTTGAGTGGGCCAATGTTTGAATCTGACTAAATTTTTTTCTGATGCTTCTTCAATAAAACAGTGAGAAGAAACCTACCAGGCTGTGAGAATGTTCCCGGATGACAAGCTGGTAGCTTCAAGCCAGAGTAGTTGAAACATGAGCTCATGTTGAACTGCGGCAACTAAAAGAAGATATATTCAAAAGTTTGGTGAGCTTTGAGCTTGCAAAAACTCAAAAGCATAAAGTCTTTAGATGTTTGTTGCCGCAGGGAGAGGAGGAAGAGTTTAATGTTTGAATACTCACTTGTTCCTCTTTGACCGGTGCCGGATTAGGATTAAATGCTTGCATCGAGAGATTCATGCCGGAGAATACGTCTGAAGTAGGGAGTAGTAAATGTAGAGAAATATTTATGCGTCTACAACGTTGTTTAATACAATGCGCATTTCCGACTAACCTAGAATCTGGCATATAAGTCTGTTTTTTTTGACCCAAATTAAGTCTGTCTTCAGTTATTCCGCCTACAGATAAGTCTTTTTTTCATTATACTACCCTAACATCTTCTCAAATAGGTCCAAAGCGCCTTGACTATATCGGACTATCTTTGAGCGGATTCATCTATGGTGAGGTTCCATATGGCAGATTCGGACATATTTGGGGTACTTTTTTTAAGAAAATGAACCAGAAAGAGCTTGACGCCAGAGAAAAGATGCATTATTTCAGATGCAAGTTTGATGATAACGAAGCATGTTGACGTTCGAGGTGAGCGGCGATTCCTCGGGACGACCCGTTCGAGCCTTCGTCGATGAATGGCGCTCAGGAAGAAGCGCTCTATTCACTGCGGCCGGTAACGTTGTTAGCTGACTGCCGTGTAACTGCCGCCGCTCTGACAACGGCGAGAATCCGAGCGAGAACGTTGGACGACCGGAAACTTCGACCTAACTTCATCAAACTTGCATTTAAAGAAATGTTCTTGGAAATATATTCGCTCTTTTCTTCCTAGTTTATCGCCGTAGACAATTTCCTGAAAGATCTTACCGTTGGATTGTTTCTGTGGTGCCACCGTATTGGTATCGTAGAACGGATTTCTTGGCAGTTGTCCTCCATGCATGCCATTCTGAAAATTATGATTATATCATATTGTTCGAAGGCCGCTCAGCGGCATGTTGCATTAAAATCCTCAATATGACGCTGAGTTTATTTGATGTTTTGAAATAACTCGGAAACATACTTCAAAATGTCTATTGATTGCGCTCAGCTTCTTCCAGCAGCCTCTTGATAATTATCAAAAAGCATGATGTTCGAATAGAGTAAGTCGCATTAGAGGTGATACCATTAAAGCGCACAGTTTTTTTGATTTCAAAATTACATCAATTTGACGACTCTTTATTATTTTACGTTCCTCAGAGTACAATTAGCAAAATTTCTAATACACTTCGAAAATAGTCAATGAAAAGTTGGCAAGATGAAAAAGATAACCAAACTCCCCATCAATCTTAGCCCACTGTGGAAATTTTGTTCTTTCCATGGAGAGATCACTGATATGTACATAGAGTTTTGAAAACTGTCGGTGTAAATGCCTAGGATATTTCTGACGATATATATAACGGCATTGACCTAACGTATTGAGATTTTTGAGGCTGGATTTATTGAGTGGTATGAAGAGAAAAGAGCTATCAAACAATTTGAATAGGCATGGCTCACCTGTAAGAATGGAAAGTGGACGGGCTGTTCGGCTTTGACTGCGTTTTCCGGCTTTGCGTCCATTCCGGAACCGTTTCCTTCCCGTTTGCGAAAATCGGCCGAGCGCTGGAGGGCGGAGCATCGGATGGGCGGTGCGGCAGCTGCGCAGCCAATCGCAGCCGAGCTGCGCTCTGACCGCGCATTGATTACCGTATCCGGCTGAATGCTAACGAGTGTTTTGACTTGAGGCTGCGGACGGATAGAAGCGCTCTGGCAGGAAGGAAAGAAGAGAATAGAACAATGAAAAAGGAATGCTGAGTAAAATATTGACATGAGAATCAAGTTGATATGGGTAGTTTGCGGGCAGAAAAAGAGAATTATGTGAATAAAGTTTATGTTTTTACTTCTCAAACTCTTTCGATTTCTTCGTGAAAGTACTACGAAGATTCCAGAGTTGATTATTTGAGTACTAGTACTCGTTAACACTTAGAATTTCTTGAAATGGCTAACAACAAATTTTGTTTGATATCTAATGACCTCAACCGTCAAGAACGGTCCAATACCACCGGCTATTTAATGATGCATGTGTTTTTTTTCTTGACAAATCTATGCTTTTCTTTCTAGCCTGGGACAGCTGGCTTTGATTTGATGTAATTGGCAAGCGAACGTGCGCGTGTCGAAACAATGACACATCATTAGTGCGAGGGCTGAACCGCTTGTTCTGATGTGGGTCTATTCAACACAATCTTAGCACTAATAGGCTTGTACAGATTTGAATTTCTTTTTAAGAATTTTCAAACTCGAGCATAGTTGCCAGTAAGCATGTAGAAATTAAGAGAGAATTTTTTATGTAACGGTTAGGCATGTACAACTTATCTACCAATCCCATTTGTTTGGTAATGTTTTCATCTCCAAACATGGGCCAAGTTTGTTAAATTTCAGTGAATTCAGCTCGGAAAATACACCGTTGTTTCAAATTAAGCCGACTTTAGCAAGAATTAGAGATGAGAATCAGAATTATGCTAAGAAATTGGGGCTACTAAAAGTTTTTGCGATCAGAGGAGAGAGACTGTTATGATAGCTTACTTTTGATAGATTTATAATATTTTGGAACTTATGCATAAGATACCCAGCTTTCCAGTTTGACTTCTACTTTATCATGGCCGACATCATTTCCTGCCATCGTTTCGTTTTTATTATGAAGAGAAACTTCTATGAGGCTCTAATAGTAATGCGTGGGCCAAATTGATGCTTTTTGTTACAAGAATTCGAACTAAAGTTCTTTCGACTGAGCTGTTTTTCCTGAAAATGAATTTTTCTTGAGAGTAATCACTCTGCAATGCTTCATAACGGAAATACATCAAAATGAAATTGCTTCTTTTCACCCTTTCAACGAAAGTAGGGGGAAGTATGAATACTTACACTTTCTCGATTGATACGCAATTATACTCCGAGGTTTGTAGAGGTAAGAGATTAGCACAAATTATTATTTATTGCCTTGAAAATGACTAAATTGAAGGTGTAGTTTGGAGACTATTACAGCATTTGGGATGAAAGGTCCTTCAATCTTTTTTGCTGAAGGCAAGGCAAAGTATATTAGACCTCCACTTTTAGCTCAGTAACTACTATAATAGCACGTTTCATCCTTCCGCTCCCCTCCCCGCTCAAAAAAATGGGAGCTTCTACATTATGGAGGAAACGGAGCAATCCTGTCTCCAATTCTGTGATTTTCCGTAAGAAATAAATTTACACCATTTTTCAGCAGTTTGTAACCATTATTTTACACGCAGAAACTTTACCATCTTCTTGGTTTCAAGTTTTGGGGGTTTCCTACAATTACGAAATGCTTCACATGAATGAAGACTCCTGTATTTCGACTGGTGTAGAGAAGGAAGGGAGAGAGAGAACGAAAATGAATAAGCTGTTACCGTACTTTTGCTTCAATGGAGCACGTCACGAAGACATAAAACATTTCTTTATGAAAGCTTTACGAAAATGTTCTTATAATTTTGCTGGCTTGTTTGTGTATGTGTCATCTGGATAAGTGAGCAGTGACCCCGCTGAAACCTCCGTAAGAGTCCAGTAGAGCTTCTAGGTTATTTGTTATTTACGTAGCGGCGGATGAAGGCAGAATTGTCACACGCATGTCAACCTCATCGGAAAGTTATTATCCCACGTTTCATTTTTACAGTGAGACGTCATCACATTGATTTCGAGAAGACTGGCAAAAAAGTGCAAAGTAATTGATATAAATTTTGCGCAAAATAGAACGAGGCATAGATTCATAGAGAAGAAGTGCAACGAGATGCTGAGTGACGATGTGAGATGTTCACACGAGCACGGCGTCGACGTCGTCGTTTGTCGGCTCGAGACCCTATGTACATAAATAATTGCCTGCAGCAATTACGAGGGCATTGATTCAGTGAGGCGACAGATGAGGAATCGGTGCTTCGCTGAAAGCGACTCGACTCGCATGGCTCGTCTTACATGAGAGATCCGGTGAAAGCCATCTTTGAAATGCACATATACATGATATTGCGCGATGGGACCTTCATTGTGCGGCGAAAACCGGTAGTGATACTGTAGGCTACGCATGATCACCGAATAGAATAATTCAAGATTATTTTCAAATGTTAATTTTGAGAGTAAAGTTCGAGATAATCTTGTTTTTCCACTCAATTTAGAATTGTCAACAAGCATGATGAGGTGTTGCGCAAATTTCAGCACGCTGATCGTAGGTTCTGATCATCGATTTGTGTAAATGCACCTTTTTGCATTTTCCTTAGGAAGCTGGACTTGTACTCTTTCTCCAGCCACGACAGAGATTTAGAGATTCTACTACCACAATTCTGCTTTATTGCGGGATTTACAACAGTACAATCACACCAGGAAAATCGCGAAATCATTGACTGTATTCAAAACGTCCAATTCAGTATACCATTTCAACAAGTTCTCATGAATAATGTGATTTCTTGTACACCCAAGCAGACACGCTTTTGTAAAGCGTATATAATGCTGTGTGATGTATTAGGTTGGCACATGAGTTCTGCAACTTATTCCGTAACTTTTCTCCTTTTGACGACGCTTTCACTTTTGTGCATAACGTAGATTATGTAGTAGGCTACAAGTATACGCGAACAGTTCATTATAATTTGTGGTAGCGAAGTGGAGAAAATTTACGCCTTTCTAGAAAGCTGATCAAATTCGAATTTTTAATGGTCGGAAAACCAGAAATGAAGCCGTTCGTAGTCTGAATCAAACACATCAAGCCGAAACTTTATAGATCATTAAATGTTACTCTACCAACATTTTGGGTACGGTTTCAGCTTGACGCGTTTGATTCAGACTACGAACGGCTTCATTTCTGGTTTTCCGATCTTTGAAATTCGAATTTACCAGCTTTCAAAAAATACATGAATTTTCTCCACTTCGATACCACAAGTAAAACTGTTTGACTCTATTTGTAGTCTATTACCTACCTACACTATACTTAAATGAATGTGTCACAATGAAAAAGAGAAAAGTTGCGAAATAAGTCGCAAAAATTATGTACCAACCTAGTGGAATTAGAAAAAAGGGGCAACCTATTCCTGGCTTGGCGACACATATTTTTTGTTTGCATGTCTTTCTCCGCTTATCAGCCCAGAAAGAGTAGTCAGAGCAGCTGCAAATTCCCAAGCTTGATACTTTATGGGATTCCTTCCAGAGTTTGAGTAATTTTGAGCTTCAACCTTTTTTCCGTTCAAGAGGTAAGCATAATGCGATATGAGCTGAACTTCCTCATATAAGCGTTTTGTAACAATTCATTCAACTTTGCATCAGCTCTACCGAACATTGTACACAAAGCTTTCATTTATATGCGAAATATGGTGTGGAAGCAAATTCGTCGCGTATTGAAAACACAATCTCTTTGTATACACTGAAAATTTAATGCAATAAAGTCCAAGAGACTGTGGAAGCGCTACTACAAATACCGCTTTGTAACGCTCGATGAAGCAATACCGAAGAATTTTTTCTTGGTTTTGCGAGCAGATTGTCACTCGACAAGTTCGGCGTATCTGAGCGATCTAGGAACAAAACCCTGCAACCTCGACTCGACAGCGCAAAAAGACAAATTTCGTTCTAGCCACAGGTGTACTTCTAGAATGTGCTTTCAATTCCTGGCTGTTTTCATAGCTGCATTAGACGTCTCATAGACATCCGACTGAATGTACTATCCAGCAGGAATCATTTACATGGAATATAATCCGTTGTGACGCTCTCACTGTGTTTGCAAAGACGCTCGGCTAACACCAGAAGGGCGAAGCGATCATCTCTCTCCCTGAACGGATGCCGCGGATTGTTTGAGCAAGCTGCCAAGGCTGCGAGGATTACTACTGTTTCAGGCAGGGTCGGGTAGTTTATGAAATTCGGGGGGGGGGCTTAATTAACCAAGGGCTCAGCTATAACTCAAGTGGACCTCGAGAAAAGACGGCTGTTCCAATTTTTTCTTCACTCGGCTGGGAACAGCGGCTTTCGGTACTGAGGGGGCACAATCGCGCACTCATTAACAATGCTAATCGACACTCGGACGTCGTCGGCTTCTCCTCGGACGATGGCGTGAGCTCGGTCGAGACATGAACCGCATAATAGCCCGCGCGACGACAATTGCGGTTATGTAAGACAGACCGACAAACGGAACCGCCGGGGTTGCGGTACGGGAGTGCTAGAGGGACCAGTTATACAGCGCTGTCCGGGTGGAGGAGCAGGTGGCAGCTCCGGAGAGAACGAGTCGAGTAAAAGACCGGGAGAAGTTAATTGCTCACATAAAGCATCTTGATGGAGTGGTTGACGATGAGGGCGACTTGAGGTAGGGAGGTTAGCTTTAGCCTTTTCCAAGGGTTAACATTGTCAGTAACTGCTAAAGCTATCATCTTCCCCTTCAAGATTGCTAGCCAATTTTATATTTTACCATAAGCGCTAGTAAAATCTACCAGAAATTGTCGGTTATCATCTTACACTCGAAACATGTTTGAGGACAAGTCGATAGTTTTTTGAGAATTGCGTGGCGTACGCACTTATCTCTATTTACCAAGCATAGATTTTCCTTAGCTTACCGTAACCCACGTGCCAAAAACCACACCGCCACGAAAGTGTCAAAATAGCGGATGCAGCATCCGGCATGCTACATTACACCTTTTTGACCCTGCCGACGGTAGACGACACATGCTGAGTGAGCAGGTAAATAAAAGCTATTAAAGGAGCACTCTGGGAGGTCGATGAGGACATCTGTGTTCTTACCGATATCATTAACACCTTTCGCAGCAGCCACGGGAGAAAGGGTAGAGATTAAGAAAAATGCAGAGGTGACTTCTTCAGCCAAAACTTCGAGAAAAAAGTATTTGCGCTCACCCACTTTTACTCAGCTAAGAGAAAACTTTATAATTATATAAATGCCTTTACAATTGTATGATCTAGGCGCAAAAGTATTATCATATTTCCAGATAAACTTTAGATCTTGAATGAATATTTTAGTAACTGTAATTCTGTCAAAAGTTCGACTTCTCACTGTCTTATAGTACTCTTACCGCAAGATGAGATCAGAAATGAGAGCGGCAAAACCGAATCAAAGCGTAACAGCTGACGGAAGCGACGGAAATAGTCGAGAGGATCAAGGGTTATAATCGGGGGTAACCGCTCCATTAAGTGGATGGAATAGCTCTTACGTACCTATAAGAGATAAGGGTTATGGTTCTGAAATATTTCCAACTGAGATTTTAAACCACAATACTTTTATATGTAAAATCGAAGACAGAATATATCAGTACAACTTGTAATCTTGTCAGTCCAAGAATCCTGAGAACTTCTATGAGCAATTTGGCCCTAATAGCCAAGTATAACAAGACATCTAAACATTTCCTTCGCATGCGCCTCTCCGAATCCCGAACTCCCCAAGAAAAAAACCATTTCGAATGTTACTTCGTCTGACTAGACAGCAACACATCAAAGAACTTTTTATTGCACATCATAAGTGACATTCAAACGTCGATGTTTCACACAGCAAAAGAGGCATAGTCACGTTTGAGTAAGGCCGTAGTTTCGGTGTCTTCGGCTCGATCACATATCGAATCCATCACTTCAATCGTTCGTGACTGGCCCACACCTAGGGATGGAAGGTTATGGAAGGAATTTCAAAAACTAGGCACTTTGGAAAGCATTGAAGGACCTGGTTTGAGAAAGTGTCATGAACATCAAGAAACCCTAAAATTATTTCTTCCCTCATCTCAATCTGTTAGGTTGCTACAAAGGTCCAGCACAAAAATTTGAAAACTTTTCTTTTTCAACTTCACATGAAGTATTTTATTGCCACAACTTGATGATAAAATTGTTATTCAAAAATACGTAATAATAATAAATTTTCTTAATTTTTCTAATCCTGTTTGAAATTTCTAAAACATCTACTAAGCTCTCAGTTTTGTTTTTGATTTTATGACATGCTTCTCTGTTTAAAATGACTCCGTGCTTATCTGATGTTTTTATAAAATCTTTTACTTTGATACTAAGTAGAAAAAATTACAAAATTGTAGTAATGTATATGCCATATCGTAATCATTGTTGTTAAATGGGCTCGAAAAGTTGTTTTTCACAATGAGCTCGCCAACATTACAATTACCAAATTATGACTCTACTAAACTCTCATTTTTGTTTTCTTAATTTTATGAAATACTTTTCAATCTTAGGGAGATTAGGAAAATTCGCGCTTATCTGACGTTATTATTCCTTATATCTGGATTTTACACTGAGCTTTCTGTTTTTGAGTCAATTTAATACCTATAATAACCAACTTTTTACATATATTACAAAATGCGTACGCTTTGAAAAAAGTATATGAACATTTTTTCAAAACGATCTTATTTTTTTGGTGGGAGACATGTGTCAACTTAGTACTTCAAATCAAGAAAGACTGGTACTCGTTCTTTGACAGATGACAAGCTCGAAATATTTGCCTTTCTCAATTTCAATCAAGCCCTTTTGGTTTTTTTTTCAGAGTTTCAACTGTGTAACCAAGCGTCGAAGTGTTTGAAAGTGCAAAATGAGTATGAATGCCTTTGAGCCTTCTTTCCTCACTATACACTAGTTCTTGAAAGGCTTAAACTAACATTGCTTATGAAACTCCAGTTTATCCGTCTTAATGAATAGAGCACGAGATAAAGGCGAACGTTGACCGTCCTTGAAGATAGCCGTAGCACTGAACATGTAGAACCAATCGTAGCGAAGATCAGGAAATACCACCTAAAAACGATTTTTGCAATCTAGAAGCTTTTTTAATTATTACAGAACAAAAAGGGTTCCTAAGGTTCAAGTCGCATCTAAAGATACAAGTTACTGACCCGTCGACCATTAACTGGGATTTTTTCCCATTCCGAGAGCGAAGCATTCGGATTTTCGGTGAAGTAGACTATATAATTCTGGAATATTCCAAATTGGAGTGGTGAGATCATAATTAGTAATTTTTGCGAAATCTGTGGAAACGTTCTAGATCTGATTACATGTATTTTACATTTATTTATTTTGTATTTTTATAGGCCTTGTACTAGCCAAAGTTCCGCAATTTATTGAAGTAAGCTACCCCTTGCGGCAGTATAAAACTGAGCATATTGAAGTATCAGATCTATCTATCTAATATATATAGAATCGTAACGGCAATTCAAAAAACTCAAATAGCGGGAAACCGCGGTGCGGTTCCGTAGTGCGCCGATGCAATGTAGAACTTTGATTACTGGTTCACTAGTCTAACAAAATTCGCAAAGACTTTTCAAGGTTTCCAAATTTAATTGGTTAATTTGTTATTGAACAGCTTCTGAAACTAGAAATCTGTTTTTCTAATACCTTCACATCATTCGTCCTTTTGTAAGGAGGTTCCCAAGTCAATTCTATTGTATTTGCATGCAGTTTTGTGGCCAATATGTGCTGAGGGCTCAGCTGAGGTTCTGAATAACGTGAATTTTTATCTGCTTTGATAGTCTACAACGACGAACTTGCCTGTATACTGTACGAGATAGATAGGTTTACTTTCGCCATACTTGCTGACAGCCGTAATGCGGAACTCGTAGAGCGAACACGAGTCCACGCTCATGATTTCGACAGTATTTCCTTTGATGCCGCGCAGCTCACGGATCTTACCATCTTCAGTGTGTCTACAATAAATTTTACATGTTTTGCTACAGCAAATTTATCGGAAGAGTCCTAGCACTTATCCAAAAGAAAGCATAAGCATTACATCTGCATCTAATGTATGACACCTGCTATTTTCGCCTACAAAGAACTATGATAAACACTAAAGTAATCTTCAAGCTACGATCTAAATAAACGTTGTTAACTGATCTCTTTTCATTACAAAGTAATACTGGATGAAAAATCGGAGTTACTGCATCATTTAAATTATAAGTTAAGGAATGCAACCTACTTGAGACGATAGCGAATGTTGTAAGTGAGATCGGAGTCGGTCGAGAAAGCTGGGGCCCAAGCTATTCGAACAGAGTAGGCCGAAGTGCTGATCACCTGAAAGAATTTACTCCCAGAGTGATAATGAAAATCAAAGCTGTGATGAATATTCTATAGATTCTATGGTTTCCGCAGATACCCTTACGAGTGCCTTTTCCAGAAAATATTGGGGCTGAAAAGAAATAGTTTAGAATCGAAATTACCTGACAATCAGAAGGTGGATCTGGAGGAAGACGAGCGAACATAAACTTCTCATTCGGCACTGAAATGTGCTTGGAATAGAATGAAAAATACGGTAAATTTAAGACTGGTCCAGATGTCGTACCAGATTTTGAAACTCTTAATTTTTCAAGCAAGACAATTGCATGAGATAATTTTAAGTATGGGTAAAGACGCACTTTCCAGATGCGCTTGAAGATGATTTGACAATTTGTAAGAGTGGAACTTAAGCGAAGCAGATGGATCTCAATTTGTTGGTATTCGGTGAAATCTTCTGAAAGATCCGATACCAGTCTTCGTTCTGATTTGGGTTCATGAAATTCTACGCAAACAAGCACGCAAATTACAATTTCAGTCATTGTAAAAGTAAATAATGAACTTCAAAAAAATCCTAAGCATTTTGAAAACGAAGGTGAAAATTTTGTACTTGAAAAGACTTCTGGATAAACCTACAAGGTACTTTCCGATTAAAGAGTTTGGCAACTTACAAACATGACTTCCTCTTCTCTTGGCTCTCTTCTTCTTTGATTTCTTTCTAGAAAGCTCGTTGTAGTCTTTGTGCGCGAATATCATTCCTCTCGCTAACTGTGCCAAAAGCGATGCCATCGCAGCACGTCTCCTCCTAAAAAAAATTTTTATCAGAAATTGAGTCTAGAGACTTCCCGCCTTTCTTTACCTTGCTTTCGCCTCCCTAATAAGATAGAAGGGATTGTTGCTCTTGAGTTTTCGTCCAAGATAGTGAATCTCTTTGAGGTACATTCGTCCCACGACATCCATGCACATAGTGGTCAGGATTACTCCACCTGTGGATTAAGAAAATCCGCCGGTATTTTTTGAATTGAAGATGTTGCTGTAGCTTTGCTCACCCAAAACCACTGCTAGCGTAGTCCAGATGTTGTGTGCAGAAGGGCGGAAGTCTCCAAAACCTATAAATTTTAAAAACATAGTTCTTTGAATTTTCTAGCAGAAGTTCAAAACTGACCTACAGTAAGTATGCTAATAAAGGTGAAATACATGCTTTCCACATAACTCCATTGTTCCTTTCGTTGTATGATGTACGATGCGAAAAGGCCGTAGAGAAATACAAACAGAAACACGACAATCGGTGGAAATCTAACTAACTTTACGCGATCTAGAATTTCCTGAAAATTGAGGACTTCATTAGGTACCACTTACTTTGTAATATTTTTTTAGTTTATGGTTACAAACGAAAAAAGATAACATGTGCGCGAGTCATTTGCAGCTCAAAATTGAACTTGAACACCTGCACACAGCATCCGACGAACACCTTACCTGACTCGTCAGCAGAACTCTTCTAGCGGAGCAACTGTGGAACTGTGTACTAGCACTTAGCGCATATCCACTCACAAAAGGGAGTGAAAAAGAAGACAGTCCCAGGAAAACTCGCTTTTGAACTCACAAATCGTGAAATAGCGCGCGCAGTGTGCAATAGCATATCAAGCAATAAATGACATGACGATATATTTTTCTTTGTAAAACTGAGCTAGTAATGTGCCGAAACAAAATAGCCGGATGTGATCCTCCTTTACATTATCGCGATATGTGGTTACGGTAAGTTTGCTTTCAGAGGCTACCGTACCCGAACTGCAACAGACCGTACCTGCTCATCTTCGTCCTCGGCAAACATCGGTTCCTCATTTGTCAGCTCTTCGCCCTTTCGTCGCGCCTTCCATCTACACCAGTATTTCCATAACTCGTAGTGGATCAAGAAAATTGTCTCGGAGATGAATTTGGCAACATTTGCCACCGTGACGAGAGTTAGAGGAATTCCTGAAGGTGATAGGGAGATATTCGATTCACATGTTCGACATCGAACCTATGAGACAGTAGATGACGCCAAATAGTCGTCCACCAAAAGTATTTGGAGCCACATATCCGTAACCTATTGAGGTGAGCATAGTGGTGGTGAAGAACACAGAATTGGCAAAGTCCCATGATGGTGCATCCTGAAATTTTGAAATATAGATTGATTTGCAAGTCCTGCACCAAAAATATAGAAAAATCGTTTCGAGAATGAAACAATTTTTCAATGCACATCGTTTGCCTTGTAACATCAAAAGCTACATCTTATAATAAATATCAAGGATTTTTTCTTCTCAAGTGTTCGAAAATTATAACTATTCGAAGGACGTCTGATCAGCAATTTCTTCTGAATAAAGAGAAAAATATATAAACAAAAGAAAAATCAAGTTGAGAGTTAGTAGAAGTTTAAGTCATCGCGATATGCAATAATATAATATTTTGCTTTTGATTTTTAGAAAGTGCAAGGCTTTTTCGACATGATGTTTATCAAAGCAAAATTTTTCTGATATTTTTGAAGTTTTTGATGCAAGACTTATAAATGAACTTGATACAAGCCATCAAGATTGGTTGACCAGATTCAAATACAAAGAAAATTATGACAAGCAACAACTTAGAACTATCGAATTAGCCATTTTATCTGTCGAAACTTCAAATAAATCCAATCTCAAAAAATTTATGAACTTGACCTCATCGTATCCATGCCTTGAAGCTCTATGAGCTGCGAACACTGTATCGACGTATCCGTGAAACTCATCCGTAGTAATCGACTTTACAGCTTTCACTAGATCTTCGATATTCTGAAAATAAGTTCAATGAAGATTCGAACAGATTTCGTATTTTTTGAGACCAACATCAATCATGATTCTATGGTATTTGCGTGTGTCCTTGCATTATGGCAATGACCAAATCAGTCCCAGATACCGAAACTAAATAAATTAAATAGGAATAAATTGGGCTGACCTCATATTTGTCCTTTTCGCTTTGGGTAAGCTCCCAGATCCTATCGATGTATGCCTGAGCGCTTCTATCTATATTTTCCGTCTGCTCTCGTTTCACTTCCTAAAATAACGACGTAAAATTGCACTCCACCTTTTTTAGTTCAAACACTTTAAAGAAGCAAAATTTCGAAATCAATTAAGCTATTAGCTCTTCGACTTCTTAGCTCATTTCTTTTCAGCAGCATTCCAAGAGCTATCTAATGCAAAAATGCACAGACAAAGAAATTACCTTCAGATGGTCTCCTTCCAATCGTTGGAACATTAGCGCTCCAAGGATAATGTAGAGCGCACATGTTCCCACCAACATCAAATGTGGTGAGAAAAATCGTGTCATGATCACCTTGAAGGCAAGCCTAAACTGTCATTCACAAGGAAATGTAGATCATCTAATCTTTGATGTTTTATTTAAGCACAATGACGCGAAAAATTGATTATTTCAACATTCTTATTTTTAGTGAAAGAAGTGACACTCGTAATCCAAGCATGATTTACTGAACAAGCTCGATAATAATTAGGTAAAGGTAAATATGTTTGGAGATAATATAAAACTTCAACTGCTGTATTTGTCTTCGCACGGTCGTTAACGCATTTGTTTGAAATTATTTTCAATGTTCTGCGATAGATCTATTCTTCAAATTCTCCTTCAGCTATGCATGTGTTTATGTTGGAACTACACGGATGCTCTATATGTCCAAACATCGAGCAATTTCCAGTAGCTGAAAAATTCGACTATTCCAACCAGAGGCACTTCCTTGTTATCAAATCAATATTATCTGGAAGTGCGATGGCCGGACTATGAGGATCTAGACTGTTATAAAAATCCGAAGTAGGTTTAAGGTCTCCAAGGAAACGTTTTTGCCCTGTCTTGAAGTTTTCCAATACACCAGATACTTTTCCAAATTTCCTTTTCCAATGCTTTTCTGAATCGCTTTTGTCGCGCTCTGCCACTACACAACTAGAAATTTGTTCTGAATCCAAATTAATCACAAAAAAATTTTCGGATGCGCGGCTGCCACAGGTTTCCCTTTTCTAGATCTTCGGGTTATAAAGCCACAAAATTATGAAATTCCAGAAAAAAGCATCCCAAAAATATCTTAAAGTGGGTGGCTAACGCCACGTACTCGTTCAAAATTTTTCGTGCCCTCTTCTTCTCCAAAAAAGTTCTCGGACCGCCACTGTTATCTACATGTGGATCTGCAAGCATGCCTCGCAGAATGCCAATAGGTAATCTCTTCGAAACTTCCTGGTTTATTCTTTTAAAAAAGGGAAAACGAAGACGGATATAATTCTTTCCATCATTTCGCAGTTTCTCATAATTGGAAAGACGATTGCATCAAAACAACAATAGTCAACCGTCTTTGCGAAAGTATCAAATCAATTTTTTTGAAAGGAAATTAATCCGCTTCATTTCTATAATGAAAAGGGTGTGTCCTTTCGAACACCAATAGAGACTCCAGATTTTTAGGGTCCTTAAGGGGAATATTTTTGACGAAGGTGGGATAAACTCAAAAAATGACTGGTTCTCGTCGAAAGATCGTGATACACCCACCAGTCATACCGAGGTGCGGATTAGATGCGAAGAATGTGTGAAGTTGAGCCAATTCATTAGGGAGTGAGAAAAGATGCGGCTCCAACTTGGACACAAAATGCCGAAAAAAAACACGCGTGCAAGAAGCAAAGTGCAAAGAGATTTTCGAGAAAAGCTCGTGCATGTAATGCCATTGTGAAACGGATAAACGCAGAATGTTTGACAACTCTGGCGAAGCAGAAGAACGCTGAGATGTGTTTGTGACAAAAGTAAGCTATGGATTATAGCTGCCATTTCGGATTTGTCAACTCTTCACAGCTCCACCTCCGGCATCGAATAATTTCTTTTAGCACATCTTCGACATTCAAGCAACAGTTCTGCTTCAATGCTCCCATTTGCTTTCGTGCGCAGTTAAGCCCCAGTCGTGCACAGCAGTCAGCTGCAAAAAAAGGCACCGCCATGACGAATGAATTCAAAAATCAAGAAAGCGCCTTCCGCCACCTATGAAGAAGCGCAAAGAGTTTTGATTGACGCGACGAGAACACTTTCAAGGGTAAGTCAGTGTAGCACACTCAAGAGCTAATGCAATAGTCAAATACTTATAAATGGGATACCAGCGGCGGACCGAGGGGGATGGGAGCAGGGCCCCGAAGATGGGTCGCAAAATTTTGAAAGGTACTTACGGTTATAAGAACGTGCAAGTGACTTGTTTGTACTTGTGAATAAATAAAATAATTTTCGGAATTCTGTATTAATCATAGACTATATTTTATAAACAAATTTGTTGGGCTTACACGTTCGTTTGGCTTAACTTTGTATGCATAAATAAAATAAAAATAAAAATAAACTCAAAAAAATTTCTTCGAGGTGTGGTTGTCACCACGCTCAATTTTTTCAAAGCGAGGTTATGGGCCCTCCTGTTTGTAAAAGCATTCCAAAACATTTTTGGCATGAAAGGCTGATCCTACACACATCATTCGAAAAAAATTTTGTCCCCCCCCCTCCCCGCCCGGGTACGGAAATTGCTACCACTGGGTTATATTTTGCAACATGCGTTATTAATTCTCTACGACTCAAACCCATTATTAGCTAGGAAATTCTTCGTGTAAATTCCTGTTCTTCATGCATATTTTCATGCATATTTCTTTAAAAAAATTTTTGTGGTTTTTATTAACGATTGTCCAAGGGAAAGTATTTCAAAGCTCCTACTACCACATATCAACTCTTCAGATTTCACTAACAATTAAGGACAGTCTCACTAGAAATTCCCGAAAGCTCAACTGCCTGACTTTCCAAGCTTCGTTTTTAGTCTGTGATGGATGCAGAGATGAGTAGTTTGATATTTGAGTACATCAAAGTTTGCTCTATTTAGCGAATGACAAAAAAATTGTGATCTGCCGTTTCGAGATTCTTTGATCGTAACTCGAAAATATCTCCATTTGCGTGAAATGTGAAATTGGGGTCTGTCGCTTCTTCAAGCGTTTTCTTCACAGAGATATAAATTCTTCTTGAACAGATTTTACATCGCACTTCTCAAAAAAGTTAGGGAGTTACCAGACACTATAGAAAAGAAGCCGCAATGACCGCTAGTTATTAGTTATTCTTGAATGCACACATCCATTGAGCAGTTGAGCCCCAATTCGATGCGTTTGTTTTTATGCTGATAGTTTGAAAGAGAAAAAGCAGAAAGTAGTTAGAAGAAAAATAATGGATAATTTTACTTCTGAACAAAAAAGAGACTGCCTAACTGACCTCATAGTAAAGGTACACCTGTGGAAGTGGAAGAAACTGAATTAACATGCAGACATTTGAACCCTTGCGCTCGGGTAACTCTAGCGCAAACATCACTTGGCTATCAATTGCCATTCAAAATTCAGTAAATCGTAAAAAATTTGTGCAAATTGTATCAGGTTCAAATTCCCACATGATTGATTTTTTTACCTACTTGCCGCGACATTCTTCATACAAAACGGACCTGTATGTGTAGCTCATTAGAAAAGAAACCATATTTGTCGTGTATCACCCAAGAACACGCAAACAGATGTAATGACAAATAGACTACTTATTTCTAAGCTTGAGGATGGTGGCACATCGTAAACATTACTAGAAATAGAGAAGAAGTCATTTTTAGTGTCTTAAGATGTTCTTGTCCCAACTCTTTCTTCAGGGGAACTAGAATCTTACAAATTTTATTCGACAAAAAAATGTTGATAAAAATTATAATCAGTCACAATTATTAAAATGATTTGCAGCGATTTCAAGTAGCTGTTTTCCAAGAGATATCCCCCAAAACAAAATTGATATGGAATAATGGTAGAAAGAAAATATAGTCGAAAAGGACGCACGAACAAGTCTTGTTCGGGGTCAGATGTCTGCTAGGGAATACTCTGTGGGACCATTCCTCAAGCAGCGAACCTATTTGTTCGAACTAGAATGTGACAGCCGACCATGGCAGCTATTAAAGATAAGAGGAACTCATAGGGAAAAGATTCTTTTCAAGTGGATTACAACTTCAGAGGTATAGAAAGAATAAAACCAACTCACATCTCTCAGCGGATGCACTCCAGTATCTGTCAAATCGTCGCACTTCATAGACACTGAAGGGCTTGCAGCGAATGGTCCCCAGAGGGCTAATGTGCATCCAAATGTCAGTGTGAAAAGTCAGTGCAATGCTGAGCTTGGCAAACATTCTAGTCGATAGCTGTGGATGACAAATCGGCACTAATGTGGACTAAGTAGGGCACTTCTGCACATACATCTAAGTTGCTTGTAAAATATCAACCACGTAATATACACATCGGAAGTCTCTGGTTTTTGTCCTCTTTGTGATCACTGCAATCTGCAAGACCAAAAATTCGGTCTTTCACAATTGACACTCAAAAAACCATATAGGAATATTCATGTGAATATTTACTCTTACCAAACAGCCTTCAAGGAGAATTACGATAATTATTTTGAATTTCTTGAAGGGAAAGACTGAGATATCCTTTTCTTTCACTGATCTGTACTAGGATGACGATAAGTTATTTGGATTGTTGTTTTTCCAATGTCAAACTCAAGAATTTGAAATACAAAAATCGACTTATCGATATGACGACAACGCGAATATTTGTGATTTCTTGTGAGACTGCAGAAAATTCTAAACGACAAAGAACTAATTGTATGCTGTTTTCAGATAGGTAAGACGAGCATATATTAGCAAATGCCGCACCGATGTTGCAACAGGAGTAAAAAATCTAGGAAGTGACAAAGAAAATTTTTTGGACTGCTAGATGTATAGGATTCCTACATTCTCCTCTTGTGGATCTGAAAGATTATATGTGAATAAAGCTCAGTAAGGGGCGGGGGTTGAAGAAAGGAACTATTGTCACTAACAGTTACTCAAATGCGACCGGTCACTGAATTTTTCCAGATTAATCTCAATTTGGAAAGCCTTTTTAGGGCCAGGCATACTCCAAACGATTTCAGTCGCGACGCGATTTGGCAATATTCCAACCGCCCATAACCCACTGTAAGCACATTTTGAATGTACAAAAGATAGGGTGCCTCATCAACCCACGTAAGTTATACACACTATGTATGTGCAGTTCGCTAGTGTTGGATCTGAAGACTTCTGGCGAATTGAATTCCTTTTTGCAAAGACACCATTTTATGAAAATGATAAAATTCATTTTATCGTCTCTATCATGTTAGGCATTTGCTTGAGTAACGAATGCAGGCTCTTATCTAACATTTTTGATGCGTTCTTCCTTTGTCTTGCAAATTTTTTAGTACAAGTCTATCTATGCCCACAAGCTTCGGAAAAATTTGACTCTTGGTACGTCTCAATATTTAGCCACAAAATCCGTACCATAAGGGCGACAATCATGTTGGTTCAATCGGAGTTTCATTATGCGCCAACTTTTCCAGGCAGTGCATAATCAGATACATAATCGAGAAAAATAATTTGATTATTTACGACCCGTTTAATCAACTGTCCGGCAAACAAGTTTCAGAATGGTAGATTAAACATTAAAACGCCGAATTCGAGGATCACAACATATCTGTAAGGTTTTTTATTACAATTACCGAAAGAGACTTTGAAGGAAGATGGGCATTAGACTAGTCGTTCACAGGATGACACGGAAGAAATCAATAAGTAGAGCGAATATGTTTGAAGTGATTATACGATAAGAAGAGAACGATTACACTGGTTTGAACTGGTAAAATTCGCGAGATGAAAAGAAATTCACCACATATCATTAATATTACAAAACTTCTGAACGTTAGTTTCTGTAGTATCACAATCTTGAATTAATTGCTTTAGATTTTATATTCTGTATAAAAACGTTAACTAATATCGATAATGAATCACAATAACATACACGCATATACAGCCATCCTAGAGAAGCTCGAATCCATGTTCAAGAGCTTGTCTTTGCTCATCTTCGCTGACCTCTCTGGTGCAATCATATGACGCGGTTTCTTGATACTGTACAGTAAAAAGAGGATCTTTGGTTCGTTTAGAACCTTCTTCAGGACCAAGATCCACATCAACCACTTGGTTCTGAATAGATCATAATGTATTCATGATATCGCGACACCCACTAAATTTACAAATTTACCATCACAAAAAGAAAAACAATATTGAAGGCAGCATCCACTCAAAAATTAGGCTTTCATGCTGTTGCCTTTCTGGGGCCTTTTACGTTGTTCTGATAATTTATAAAGTGCAAAATGTGCAAAATCCCCTAAAAACCCGATTTCCGAGAGCGCTTCATGAAGATGTGGGCGACTTTCGATCATTCGATGGGCGGAGCTCAATAAGGGAGGAGGGGGGGGGCATGGCTTCATAGCACTTTCGCGGTTTTCCAGTTCATTTTCTCCATTCAGAGGCCACACTGGAGGACCGGACCAACGCAGATGCCGTTCTCCTGGGACCTGCTTCTGAGCTAGCTACTAATCGAGGAAGCATAGATTTGCCTAAACGCCGCCCTTGGACTTACCAAATTCAGTGTTCGAAATGCTTCATCCATTTCTTCTTTTGTCCTGAACATGAATCCAACGACACAGCTGGGGTCCATTTCTTTCATTGGCAGTTTTGCCAGTGATCGGCAGTGGTAGGAGCTGATGGGATGCTTGTGACGTTTCTGCAAAAAAAACACTAACTCTCATAACAGATATTCCTTTTGAGTTTTTGACAATACCTTGGCATTATCAGCTGCTTGTTCTGGTGGTGGTGTTGAGTCATCCCAAGAAGAAATGGGTACGTATTCGTGAGCAACATGCGGATCCAAATAGATCACTTGCTAAATTTCGAATGCAAACAAAATAACAAGAATGTATTTCTTTTCCGCTTTTCTCATTCATCAAACCTCACAAAACCGACCTAGGAGCGACTTGAGTATCACTCAATTTCGCTTATTCCCTCACTGCGAAACGTTTGATACCCGTCTCTGCGATTTCATCCTCACAACTCTTCAAGAAGGTTGCAACTCACGGCATTTCAATGAATCTGCTTCATCTGTGAAGAAGCAAAAGCAGCAATTACATATACATACAGTGACCGCCAAAAAGTTGCGGACAAGCCTCCCTCTCTTTTTCATCGCTCTTTTTCAGAAGGAAAACAAGGATAAAAAAATGTAATGATTGCACGAGGTGATAGAGCTCTTCAAGATCTACAATTTACACTTTGCGTTTTTCGAAAAACATGTATTCTAAAAATTTTAAAAAAATTTTCTAAAAAAGTTCGAAAATGGCCGCGTCACAATGTCGCGGACAATAATCCTTCGAACGCAAAAATTTTCTTTTGAATCATATTCTGAAGCTGAAACACAAGTAATCCAAACGGGTGAGCACACTACTACACAGAGCTCGTCAAGAACTACACACTGGTTATGGTTGCTTCCCAAAAAACTCAAGCTTGAGTTTTATTTTGCTTTTTTTTCAAGAATAACTTCTAATTCTCCTTTTTAAGCCAAGTTTCTTCACATGGAAACCTATTCACGACATTCCAACAACGCTGTTCGGATAAAGCAGATGCTCTTTACCATTCTCCATGCATCTGACGTGTGCTGATGAGTTTCTTTGCTGAAAATGGCTCTTGGCAGTGCTTGCACATGACCCCACCTGCACCTCACCACTGACTTGCACCGCTTTGCAAGCTTGTAACTCGGCTTGTAGTCAATGTGTGAGCCTGCAATTAGGCTCATTCGAAAGAACGAGACTTCCTCTACACGGTGGTATGTAAAAGAGATGGGTATAAGAAACAGCGGAGATTTTGCGGATGGGGTGGAAAAACGCGGCCTCAGTGGTAAGGTGAGGATATCCAGCTAAAGTTGAATAGAGCTTCTTTCGCTACCAGTTTAATCCTGGAAGCTTGAAACTGTCAATGTTCTTGTAATAGATCCATTTTGAAGCTCTAGAACTGTTTTGGTGTTGATAAGAGCCTTCACTCCAACCACCACTGAGGCCGCGTTTTTCCACCCCATCCGCCAAATCTCCGCTGTTTCTTATACCCATCTCTTTTACATACCATCGTGCAGAGGAAGTCTCGTTCTTTCGAATGAGCCTAATTGCAGGCTCAAACATTGACTGCAGGCCGAGTTACAAGCCTGCAAAGCGGTGCAAGTCAGTGGTGAGGTGCCGGTGGGGTCATGTGCAAGCACTGCCAAGAGCCATTTTCAGCAAAGAAACTCACCAGCACACGTCAGATGCATGGAGAATGGTAAAGAGCATCTGCTTTATCCGAACAGCGTTGTTGGAATGTCGTGAATAGGTTTCCATGTGAAGAAACTTGGCTTAAAAAGGAGAGTTAGAAGTAATTTTTGAAAAAAAAGCAAAATAAAACTCAAGCTTGTGTTTCTTGGGGAGCAACCATAACCAGTGTGTAGTTCTTGACGAGCTCTGTATAGTAGTATGCTCACCCGTTTGGATTACTTGTGTTTCAGCTTCAGAATATGACTCAAAAGAAAATTTTTGCGTTCGAAGAATTATTGTCCGCGACATTTTGACGCGGCCATTTTCGGACTTTTTTTAGAAAAAGTTTTTTAAAATTTTTAGAATACATGTTTTTCGAAAAACGCAAAGTGTATATTGTAGATCTTGAAGAGCTCTATCACCTCATGCAATCACTACATTTTTTATCCTTGTTTTCCTTCTGAAAAAGAGCGATGAAAAAGGGAGGGAGGCTTGTCCGCAACTTTTTGGCGGTCACTGTACCTTGAACTCTGGCCATCCCTTTCGTACACTTTAGACTTCTTGGACCAACTTCTTCAGACTACTTATAAAAAAATTTTGAGAAATTACATATACCTAGAACACTGGCCATCCCTTTCGTACATTTTAGATTTCTTGATCAACTTCCTCAGATTACTTCTAATAAATTCTTGAGAAAATTTGGATGTGTAGCGTGTGATCATGGCCAACATTCCACAAATCTGTTCTTTAGAACGATCGCCTTCGAGTGATAAAAATTTGATCAAATACGCTCGCGGGCAGAGTGATGTGTTTAGTGTTTTTATCGAAAACAAAGTTACCGAAAAATGACTGTGTAGGATCCTAAAAAGCAGAAAGAAAAGTTCTCAAATAATACCGCTCAGAAACACCTTTCTCATTTATCCACAACTTGACCCCTCGAAGAGTTGGATTGAAATTTCCAGAGGTTAGCAAAATCCTGAGCATAAAAAGTACTAAACATAAATAGTTTTGGGAAGACTCAGAAGAACATGATTAATTGCGAGGAAGAGAACTATGGAGGATTGAATGATATCCAAAGCTCTTGTCTGTCGCTGCTCTCTGAGAGTTAGTGAATGATCAAAAAAGGAAAGAAAACCTTTGAAGCAATGTAATATGTTTGAAAAAGTGGCTACGAATGTAGGAAGAAAAGCAGACTTACTCGACCATAATAGCCAATGAAGTACAAAGAATGATCCGGTCTTCCTCCCAATATCCCCAGACAAGATTTCAAATTCAGAAGATGTCGGATATGATCAAAATACACCTGCAAAACGAGTTATCTAAACGAGCGTACGGCGCTATGCCAAAAGAGACTTACCGGATTGGCACTGCTAGTACCAAGCCGTAATGGGACAAACAGCAATAATCTCTTTGCCCAAGCACGACTTTCACGCTCGGCATCGCCGATCACTACCCGTCCGTCAACAGCTAACATTATCGATAAATCACTAGTCAGAGGAGATGATGACTGCCGGAGAGCCTTCCTATAATACTCACAATAATGCCGGGAAATGAAAAGTCAGACTTACTTCATCAAAGATATCACTGCGGATGGAGCATACCAACGTATGCTATCTACTCCTGGGTTTTCTTTTCTCGATATCTCAACAAGTCTGTGAATTCCCAGTGGGGCCGTTGGGCAATCCTACAAAATGATACTTCGTAAAGTAGAGGACAACGTTTTTAGAGCAATTTTGAAAATTACACTTCAAGACTGAAGATATAAACCTATTTACATGGCACAGAATGAACGATTCAGATTAAAAACAAAACCCATGTTGCAATCGTTTTGCGCAGAAATTGCAAAGTACGAAATCGAAATATTACCTCAAACAATCTGAGAACGTCCAACTGATTCTCGTAATATGGGTCTGCTTTGGACATTTTGCGGCCGGATTTCCTCCCGTAATACCGCCACACTGCAAACAAATCAAACTATAAACACTATCGGCATAGTGGGGATGCGGGCAAAGTTGGCTTTAGCCGTTGGAGTACAAGCCAAAGTTTTTCTTAATTCTCAGCAAGCTAAGATTCTCTGTGTTTATACGCAGAAAGCAAAGGTAGAAGATTAAGTTCGATGTCTCTCACTTCTGCTTAATCGATTCACAACCAATGCTTGAGCGAGAGCCATCTGCGTCGTCCGAATCATGCACCCCCAACCGCAATCGGTAGTGATCTGAAAGCAGAGATCTGTGCATAGACGATAATATATAATAGATAATGCATGATGATAATGACCGTGATATAATGATAACAGTGTATTGAAAATGAAAAAATAAAAATATAATTCTAGGTGGAAATGAAAATCAGAGCATCTAAGCAAACCAACAGTGCCTACCTGTGTTCCAAGTAAAGGTGGCATTCCCGTACGATAAGTGATCCATATTCTAGTGTAATAATCACGGTAAAAATCGATAAAATCCATACCACAAACACATTCTATGATTGACGGACATAAAGAACAAGAAAACTGAAATCGGGAAAAACAACTTACCACTGTCTTCAGGACAATATACCAAACCCAAAAGGACTATTTTCTTGAAACCATCTGAAGTGTAATCGTCATTTGCAAAATTCATCCATTTTTCTGGAAATGTATTATAAACCTATACAATCAAGACGATACAGAATTACCTGAGTATTTGAAAGTGTTCCATGCCGAAAAAAGTTTATTTTTCAAAGTTGAGGATTTTGTCTCATTTGTTTCAGTGGATCGCCAACCGGACAAAGCAGATGTAGCCCTGATACTACGAAGTTGGGCAGGAATTCAACATTTGCTGATATAGTGATTAATTTGCTCAGGTACATCAAGTTGTAAGAAAATCGAAACACGAAGAAGCTTCGAACATCCAAAATTACCTTCTCAATTTACTCCTAAGCCAGCTCTCTGTAATTCCATCAACACTGGGGATACTGCTCGTGGGACGAGGTAAATCATCAATATCCGAAAAGCTTGACCTCGGCGAAGAGCAGCATGGTTCTTCCAGCGACGACAACGTGGAGTCTAGGAGCAATCAGGCATATTTTGATTCGAAGAGTTTTCTTACAAGGGAAGGATAACTGGTGACCGTAGCCTTGTAAGATATGGTAAACATCAGAATGATCGCCTTGAAATGCTGATTTCGAAACCATTCATTATATCTCCGAAACGCTTTTCAGAGAAAAAATAACGTTTGTGAAAGCGAATGCAAAAATGTTTGCACAGAAGATCAAACCGGCATTTGTGCAATAATCGACCACTAACCGCTAGACCATTCGACAACCTTTAGCACCTATCAACATTACTCTACTTCCATGCAAACATGTCAGATGTGAGGAGTACCGATAGGTAGTCTACGTAAAATTACTAACGGTTCAAGTGGCATAAACAGCTTGAGCAGGAATATGCCCAGCTGTTTGTGATACCATCAAACAATACAATCAAGAAAGATGGCCCTAATAAACGTTTGAATTCCGGTTTTTTCCAGACGGCTTTTCACTGTTCACCGATATCGAGGCATAGTTCTAACTCCTCAAACCAAAACCGGAAACAACACCGTTATCCAAGATGTGAAAAAATTTCTGCTGTAAGTATATCCAGCTATACACGATCGATTGACCCCCTACCTGGCTTTGAATATAAAAGTCTTACCAGGTGATTCTAATACAGTGCAACCATTCTGTCCACTCTGTACTGTTCCCTGCAGTTTGTTGGGCCTGTCATTCATGCCGAGCGCTTACGTCTTCAATAAAAATAAGCTTAAATTGCATAGTGGAGATATACCTAAAGGCGTTATGCATAACGTTAAGGGATACTAGGTGATAGGTAAACACCGCAGATGAGACGGAAATCGTTATAAACAGTGATTTATTGACCTGACTTTTTCGCAAGAAATCAAAATTATCTCTAAAATAATGATCAACATTATCTCACCACGTATCACAATACTACCTGTGTGAGAGCAACGAACAATACAAATAAAAAACAAGGCAGCAAACAAAAAGAGCAACATGAGCAAATTTAATTGGTTAATAATTGTCATACAATATGATTTACTGAGCAGCAATATCGCAGATATCTCTCAAGGAACTAACACCTAATAAGGAAAAGATGCGTTTTTGTACAAATTCCTCCAATTGCTGCGCCGGACAAAGCCCAGCCTCTTTTGTGTGACTTTCACAAAATGATATGGAGTTCGTGATGTCCACACCATTGTAAATGAACCGGAGATGTATAGGATCCTTAGCAGAAGAGCTAATAATGGGTTCGTAAAACTGGAACAACCTTTTGTGAATCAAGCAGAGAAAAAGAGAAAAAGCGATTATGGATTTGTATGGCGAAACACACCTCTATAACAATGTGTGACGCATAATGAGGAGGATCAACGAATGGAACGCCCATAACCCGCAATAAAGGTGCCAGCATGACATCATGGCCAGAAAAAACCTATAAACCGATTAAAGGTTAAGGGATCAATTCAAAGCGTATAACGATATTAAAAAGCAACTATACAAATACTGAAGAGAATAGAATACACTTGCAGGCACTTGCTAGATTACATTTTCAAGTGAACAAATTGAACATCCTGTGGGCAGCAAACCCAGTAAGTTCCGCAACTCAATCGGTACGCTTATAGTTTCAACCCAGAAGGGGTATTCACAAGGCTAGTGAATAAGCGAGTGCAGTCCAGCACTTGTGAATATCAATCCTATCCACTGAATTCGAAACCCACGAAACGCAAACCTATCAAAGTTGCGGAACCCAGTGGGTTCGCTGATGAATACCGCCACTTATTGTAGTCATAACAATAAACAAAGAGTCAACCGAAAAAGAGCCCACCTGTATAATGTTTGTATGCGCAAATCTTCTCAATTTTTCAACTGCTTCTACAATATGGTATAGAACACCATATGCTTCGACCAACTGAAGTTTCTGAGCTATGTAGCGTGACTGTTCATCGTACATCACCTGACCGCGTATTGTAGTTTCCTTGACGAGCTGAAAGTGCACCGATGGAGATAGCAATAGTTGACAGAGTTGTAACGAGCTCACCTCGCTCATGAATCCATAATCAAGGCAGTTACCCTTACCGAAACAAGGCAAAGCACGACGACGGCAGATGTAACTATAAATGCTCTAGTTTAAGCGATAATTCTCTTAAAAAACACTATATATGAGTGTAAATCAAGATACCCAACCACATTTTGATAAAGAAGCCGAAACAGCGGCAGAAGTAATGAAAAATGTTGATAGCGATCTGGTAAATGGAAGAGAAATAGAATGCTAAAAAAATCACCTCCCCAAAGCAACATCGATCATTTGAAAAGGATCGATGGTTTTGTTGAAATTAGGATGTGTTTTCAAAGCAGCGGCGATGACTCGTAGATGTTCCGGCGATCTTTCACGAAAATACTGAGCATGCTCCTGAAATGTATGAAATTGCAGGATGTTCACTGAAGATCTTAACAAAGAGATAGAACCAACTTCTTCGTACTGAAGTCTCCATTGCTTTGCAGGATAACACTGACAATCTCTACTCGTGCACATGAATGTAAAGTTGGAGGCCTGCAGTACTGAACTGTGACCGGCAAAAAACGCTTGGAAACTTACTATTAGAGCTTACTCGAATGAACACCTGCGGGATTGTCACTCTGAGAGGATATAAAAAAGAGGAGGTGAATGCAATAGCAGACTGATAAGTGCGATTGAACGGAGATGAAGTCACAAACACATTTAGACGAGATTCTGATCAAATACTGATCAATAAGTAGGTCTTCAAGTGTCTCTGAGTATGCAAACCTGGTGCAAATATGCTAGATGATGAATACTTCTTTCTCATGTAATTTCCCAGTTTTACATGTTGCAAAGCCCCTTCCGCAGTCATTTGACCTGGTGAGCATTCAGAGCTAAACAAGGAAGTGAGATATTTCTAAGAACGAACATGGACACAAGCTTACTGAGATGGAGCAAAGGCGAAATTTTCAAACATTTTGTCGTGACGCAGGAAAAATTGAAAGTCGTCACTGCTGACTAGACTTCTGTATTGTTGAAAGTCTTTCCGATCTTCTTCTCGAAAAGGCAGACATCCTTCTCTATCATATGTAGTTATTAAGGGAGACCTTAACTTACAAGTAAAAAATTTTCATACCACAGCAAAATTAACCAACTAAAAATGAACACCTCTCTCCATGTCTGAATCCTATAGCAATGCCCCGTAACCGAAAGCCCGTGTCGGCGATTTGGCCCTCACTTCCCTGCCATTTGCGCTCCAGAAACTCACACATTTCCGCCCATTCTGGAGGGGTCACTGGCGATGACCTTGTGGTAACAGAATCTTCATCACCTGAACAAGACTACAAACAATATCTTGAACTTACTTCTACAAATACACCCCTATCACTATCATTTAAACCATTACCACTTAGAAACGAATTTACCTACGTATTCTGCGACGCAGAGGAAGATGAAGAAAATAAAAACCACAGAAGCCATAGCCTTTCCCATCTAGGCTGCTGAGAATCAAGTAAAGCCCTTTCTCATACAGCACTGTGTTAGAGGCGCAATGCACATAAACGTCGAGGCATTTTCAAGTTGAAGTTCACGAAACAATATATAAAAAATGTTGAACATAATCAGATCACACAATCTGCTGTCAAGTGGACGATGGGAATAAGAAAGGTGACTAAGCTACTTGAACCGCGAAGAAACTAAGTTTTCCCACTGCAGCCGACGACCCTACGAAAGACTTAAAATCCTTGCCAAACTATATCAAAAGCTCGTAAAAAGTGACAGAAAAACTAAACAGAAGGAGATATAGAGTGCATGTATCGCCTTGTTCACAAATTGGCTAAGATATACGAATGATCACAACTGATAAAACCTCATTTTCTTAGATCTGCATTAGACTGAGACCGAAAATTAGCTATATCAAGGACTACACGTTGTGGCACCACTAGGCTCTTGAAATTAGATTCTTACATGCTAACTGAAAAGTGTTTGAAAAATTTCTAATGACCTAGCTTTCGCCTCGCAATTATGCAAAACGGGTGCAAAGCGATGACGACTAAAAGATTTAGGTTACGATCGATGTGAACTAAATAGTGGCCTCGTTCATAGACCAGCACTTAGCAGCTGCATAGCGAAAGAAATTGCTGTTACAGCGTGCAAACAGTATCGAGATTCTCAAGCGAAAAATGTTGAAACTTACCAAAGATAAACCAGTAAGTCACCAGCATCACAACTAATGCCACTACACAGAAACGAAGTCGGCGCATTTGTCGCATTTTCCCCTGCGGGGAATAAGACATCAGCAATCGTTGTTGATGCTGATTATTTGCTACATCTACTGAATCTGTAATATATGGTGATTTTTCTGCGCTTTTTCTGAGAAAACATGAGAAAAAAAAGGAAAAGGAAGGATTCACGGAAGTATAAAATCAAGACGTTCTGATGCAAACAGTCTGATAATGCGAATGCCATTTGCGACCTAATTCTCCGACATTTAATCCAAGGTTGGCATTTTGAGTGAGATCGATCTTCAGCGAGTATGCAAAATAGCTTTCGTGACTCTCTTCCACATATATATTTCTTAGGCAGTGGATCGGCAAAATGAACGCTTCTCGAATTTTGTTGTATTTATGTTAGACGCCTCACGTATGTACACTGTAGCCAAACTCCACCTGCAAATTCATGCGCAGTCCTGAAGAATGGCTTCAAACTCCACCGCCCGCGTCCATTTTGCCGATCCACTGTCTTTAAGGGGTACTAGTGGCTCGACGATCGCTTAGAATGCCATATAAAGCCACCTCTACCAATTTTGACTGCTACAGCAACGTCACGTCAAATTTAGGCGCTTACAGTTTATAGCAAGACACAGGTATCACGGTAGGAAAAATTGTGAGATCTGACCTATTCTCGCACACTGACAAAACGATAAACCTTAGCCTCTATAAAAACATATCTTACCCCGTATTCATCGAAGCCTCTATAAAAGCATATCTTACCCCATATCCATCGACAGAAACCCATTGCTAAATGCAGAGCCATCACATCGTCAATGCTGGCAGATTATCAATAATTGAAACTGCCCACTCACACAACTGAACGAAACTACGCTGGCCTATGCAAGGTCTCACTGACGCAAATTACACCGCAATTTTTAACAGCTATTCGTTCCAGTCCAAATATGACAATATAAAGAGGCGCACAATTTTGGCATGGAAGCATATGCAAAAAATATTGATCGATATACAGAAGTCGCGTAACGCGATCAATTTCACTTTTGTCAAAATTGTACAAATTTTATTCAATCAGATAAATGAAAGCATCACCAAGCTTGATTGATTATGAGATCGACATATACATGAGATCTGTTGCTAGGAAGATCAGAAAGTGAAAAGAAGTGAAGAGGTGAGCCACAGTGAATGTTGTACGAATGTTTCATAAACTCGACGTGAATACAGCTGCGAAGAAAAATATACGTGCAGAATACAACATCAACAACAGTTTGAATAGGAGATAAGTGCACAATTTGAAAAAAGAATAGAACTTAAAAATAATGCAAAAAGAATAGCAAGTAAATCTTTCGAACACAAGTATTACCAGTCTATTTCGTCCTCCACAGCCCCCGGCTTGTCTACCTGCACATCTTCAACTTCAAATGGTATATCGTTACTGGAGGGTAATTTGGCCGTTTTTAGCTAAAGCATATTGTTGTCTCAATGTACAACGTTGCAGAAGGTATATATAACTCGGTACAGAAAAAAGACCCAGCTTCTCAGCGTAACTCACATTTTTACTATCGTTCTGTATCTCCGCAGCGGAATTTGTGGTAAACAAGGCCAAGTAACTGTCCAATGCAGTAATGCCCTCGCCAGAACTGATACTTTTACGAGCAATTGGCAACGAGCGCTGATAATGTGGTATGCTTCTTCAAGAAAAGTGATACAATATAACTGCATACCTCCTCGAATTCTTGCGAAAAGTTCAACTTTCGCGTAGCTTCCGAGCGGGCTCTAAGTCTTTCAGCAAATGAAGCGGCTTGGTCAGGAGGTTCACTCGGAGCTTTTGATGAATGGTGATCAGAAAACGGAGTGTCCTCTTGAGGATTTCTATCAGCGGGGGATTCTTGCACCACTTCTCGCACGGAATCTCTGCTGGCCAGGGTTACTGCTCTAGGTGTCAGTTCGTCGCGCATGCGCTGTTCCTCCGGTTTTGGCACTTCGGCGGTGTTGGGAATTTCATGATGGAGACGTAGTGCAACAATTTCCTTTGCTACATTCTTCACGGGGCTGCTGTACAGGTTCCCACTTCTCTTCAGAGATCGGCAGAAGTCGTCGTAGTTTTCACTCTGTAGATAATGCGTAAACAAAAAAACTATTGATACGTTCAATTCGCTAACTACATTTGGTTCCGGAGAAGAAACAAGTGGATCATGGGTCATCGAACGAGCAGCAGCAACGCAGTCAATCGTTGTGTCAAGTGTCTGTAGAACGGATCACATAGCCTTTTTAGTTGATTCACTTAAAAGCTTTACAAGACTAGCAGACTCAGATAATTATGTTTCGGGAACTTAACTTTCACGGCGCGATCCTACATAGTCAGGCATGCTTACCAGGAAAGAAATGCTTAAGCATACCTTTGCCATGTTTTCCAATGTTGCAAAACGTTCCTTGATAGTGCGCAAGTCTGATGCACACTCAGAAACAGCAGATGATGACATTGATGTATCCTCACTGCTATCCGTATCACGAAGAAGCCTTCGAGACCTTGAGATTTCTTCAACATTTGCATTTGATCTCATCCAACTAACCTCAAAGTAATTCTCTCCAACCCAATCTGCTTTAGTCCCACAGTCTCGCGAGAAAATTGTCTCTTGGCATCGCGCAGCATTTCGCGAAGATAATCACGCTCTGACGTAAGCGAAGTGATTCTGTCATTCTGAACAGATTGATATGAGAAACGGAAACTTAGAAGAACCTTACCATCATTCTGATTATAGTTTTCAGTTCTCTAATTTTTGATTGTTGTAAATCGTCTGATGGTTTTGAAGAGCTTTGGGCAGGGACAGACGCACTTTGCTGCCGTGTAGCAGTCGTCAGCCGCTCGATTTCTTCTTTCAAAAAAATATTTTCTTCCTTGAGACGTTCCGCCTCAAATTTCGATCGCGATAAACGATGGTTCTCTTCTGCCTCTCTGCGCAATTTCTCATTGGCAAATTGCAGGTCTTCCTAGAAAAAAAAGTAGGGAGTGACTGAATATACAAATAAGGAAATAAGCTAAACAAGATCTGAATAAACACAAAGGAGAAAAAAAACACCTCTAAAGTTGCCATTTTACTCAGCTTCGATCGCATTTCGAAGAGATCTGTCCCATTTTCGCTCAACCTCTTTCTCAAAACAATGTTCTCATTCTCCAGTTCAACTAGCTTCTCTTTCATGTGATGCTGTTCTTCTTCGAATTCTTCCCTGAAAGGCGCACATACATAGCAAATGAAAGTAAGCCCGCCTAAACTCGCTGGGATTTGATGTATAAAAGATGTAACGATGTAATAAAAAGCTCACTTGAAAACGACTCGCAACTCTTCTCTCTTTGCGCTCAGCCGTTCCCATTCCTCGTTCAACTTTTCAACGTCAGAAGCAAATTTTCTGAAAAGAAAACGCCAATCACAGACGAGGAATCTCTGGTGACCGATGGAAATTAGAATATACAGAGAAATACTTGTCTCACAACGCTGATTTCAAATCTACAGTTCTCAGTTGCAAAAGGTTCTTCTAGAGGAAGCTATGGACTGGACGTTTCTCGAGACAAAGCTGCACTGTTGAAGAGGGTCAAAATGGGAAACGTGAGATTTTGTTCACCAAAAGTTAAGTCTCTAATGACAGGTGATTTGTTGTAGAAGTTGCTATGTATGGTAAGTTTAACACAGTTTAGGCTCTAATTGGACTTGCGTGAGTTCGCTTCGCAACGATTTGCGCCGTTTTGCAGTCTGCATCTCTTCATTCAATCGATCTCGCTGAACCAGCAGCGGTGCGGACGCGCTGCTCCACTTGGAATATTTCGCTACTCCGGGTTGAAAAAGTGTAGTATGAACAGCGACCTTGCCTAGTACTGATTTTGCCTACGTAGTAACACACAATGTTCATCAGAAAAAAACAAGTCGTAACTTTTTCTAAGAGAGTTCAGCGTCTCGAGACAAGCATTTCCACAAACATTCAATTTGGCCAAAGCCACACAATACCAAAGGTACTTCCTTAATAAATATCACTATGACAAGCGTGAAACTCACGTATGAAACTCGGCCTTGATACGATCCAAATGCTCTTTATTCATGTTGAGTTCCGCCAATCGATTTTCTAGCGACTTTCTTGTGATTTCCAATGCACTCTCCTTTTCCTGATAATGGTAATCAGACCAAGATTTGAGAACAGCACATGAATTCTTACTGCCAATTGCATCTCAAGTTTGTGACGAAGATTTCGTTCCTTTTCAACATAGCTTTCTTCTAATCTTACTCTTTCCCGATCAAGCTGCAATAAAGTAATGGCGTACGATAAATCTCAGTAAGGGATTATATACTCACATCTCTGCGCTTTACATCCACTTGCTCTGCATACTCGTTTCGAATCTCACTGAGCTTGCGAGCAATTTCAGCGCGATCGCGCTCCCTTTGCTGCAACAGCTTCTTTTCGTATCGACGTTCCACGCGTTTGCACAATTTCTCAGCTACCAACTTCAACTGGAGTTGAGCATCAGTGGTAGTGAGACACTAAATTGAGGGTTTGAATTGAATGATAAAGGAGGCCCTGATGTACCTTGTCTACATTGATTGGTGGATGGTCCAAAGCTTGACTGAACTGCCCATTGCTACTGAGAGCGCGGTAAACAGCTCGAGTTAAAATGCTTTCCACATCCCAAGTAGGAATTCGCTAAAACAATGTCTTCAAATCGTAATCTAGTCTAGCTTTTCTGTAAGAACTTACCTTTCGCTCAGAAGCAATGGACCTAAAGACTTGGTCAACCATAGCTTGGGAGCTCATTTAGCATACATCTGAAGGCTTTAACTAGCTCGTAGCTTTGAAAATCAGGATAAGCAATAGTATGATAAATGTGACGAAAACACAAGTGACATCGGATCTGAAAGAGGCGGAAAATTTTATTCATCCTCAATGTCGCCATCACTACTGATTCAATGCATAGGAACGTATAACAGAACACACAACTATATAAACTATAAATCTATGGGGCTACTCTTCCACGACGATGTAGTCTACCATGGTCGTTGCGTAACTCCTACATCAAGATAGGCAGTTCTTTTATCAAAGGTAGGCCTGAACATATGATCGTAAACGACGAAAGGCAGAGAAGCAAAAGTAAACAACTTACGAGTAGTAGCCATGCCTTGCAGGATCATCCAAACCTCTAGCTATCAATCCTGGATATTTCGCTTCTATCTCCTTTGCATTGGTAATGACCTGCTTCAAGGGCATTGTTTCAATACCCCGCAGATGTTGCCAGTCCTACAAAACAATTTCCGTTCACATGAGAAAACAGCAAGCTCTACAAAGCATTTTAATTCACACTTGCCTTGACTTCATATTTCCAATAATAATACATCGTCTCCAGTGCCAGGAACGTCAGAATCACCTTGGGAACAGTCACACGAATAACTGTCCCATAATAGACACCAAAAGTTGGCTAGAAAGAAAAACTGTATCGATTTCAAACAAGTGTTTCCTTTACCTTCAAGAAGTGCATATATAATTTGTCCCAGGGCCACCTATAAAGTACTCGTATCGGGTTGAGCTGACGATGTACAGCGTCAACGACAATGGGTTCATCTGGGTGCAGATGCTGATCCTAAAATCACCAAAACCATCCTATGTTCAGCATTAGAATAAAGAAAGAGCCGGCATGTTTTAGCTTATGAAGATCTTTCTTACTGCCGAATGACAGTTTTCGCTGCTGTCAACTGAGGAATTTCGAGAGCTTTGTGATTGGAATTGTAAGCAGACTAAAATCACAGATTACAAACCAGAAAGGTTCGCAGTGTTTTCAAATGTATATTTAAACTTCGAAGATGGCTTTAAAAGCAGTGGTTTGGGAAAATTGCGATTGCAAGCTTTTCACACCTACATGGCCTCTTGGATGCGCTGAGTCCAGCGCTGTGCTTGACATTTTTTCTGGGGAAAAAAGGCACAGCACTGACTCAGCGCATCCAGGGCTTCTAGGTGTGAAAAGCTGGCAGTCATATGGAAAAGCTGGCAGTCATAATTTTCCGGGCCACTGCCTTCAACCGCGACCTAGTTTCACATACAGTCAGGAGCAAGATAGATCTGAGAGGTAAGTTCAACTTCTTCAACCCTCCATCCACTTCCACAAGTTCCCTTCTAAGGAGCGTACGCTACACAAGGATTGAGAGGCTTTCTTATGTAAAATACCGCTGAGCAAGGGCTTGATGCAGCGCAATGCTTCATAGACTTCAAAACAAAAATCAAGCAAAAAACTTAAACCATAAAAGCCAAAAAATGGACGAAAAAAGTAGCGAACACTGCTCACCTTTACCCATTTCATTCGCCACTCTCTTTCAGCTGGACTCAAACCAGCAGCTCGTACACGCTCGTCAGCCATATGCAGCTCCAAGGACATTGGGTCGTTGAATCTAGGATACAAGTTGTTTGAATAAGCATGCTCAGAGCTACTTTCAGTATTTACCGATGACTGGGCAGATCGGAACCAGATTTTTTCAATGTTGTTGGAGGGGGTATACCAGATCGTGTATATGGCGAACTGCCTTCCCTAGGCGGTTTCACATACTGGTTACCCATCTCTAAACATGCGGAAAAGTATAGCTGTTGAAACATGGCTTACAGTTGCAAAGAGTGCTATCATAACCAGAAACTGAAGCATATTGTGAGCGTCGCAAAAAAGCGATTGAAGTTATAACTAAAGCGCTGAGAAGTAGCCAACAAGTTTTTTTCTGACTAACATATCGCGATGAACACTTATCAAAAAGCAAGTTCCTTTTGCCACATGGGAGGGCGTGCAGGATCCTCCCGACGCTCGCACTTCAAAGAGGTGCCGCCCTTCGGATTTGCACGTAGGCGACCCGAGGGTTTCATTGACCTGTCCAAACTTGTTCAATCAGGTATAAGACGAGTAAAGATTATTTGAGACTACGCAAACTGTGATGGGCTTTGAATGAGATAGAATGAAAATACGTTTGATAAGTTGGATCATTGACGATTAAGTGGGGGAGGGGGGGGGGAGGGACATCTTTTCTGGATGACATCTGTTTCCAGATAGGTTCTCACTGGGTAGACGAAAGTTCATGACTTTTTGAAGTGGTAATTGATCCAGATAATTAAGTCTCTAAATAATTTTCAGCTTTTTCATTTGAGTATACTAGTCTAAATCATATCGGGGCAACCATGAGAATTTCGTAAATAAAGACTAACAAAGTATACTTGGTGACCATGACCATCTATGAAGGGTTATTTATTAGATGCACTTTTGGATTTTCATTCAGAATCTGTCATTCTTATCTGTTCGTTGAACAAAATTACGATATTTTCACAAAGCTTTTGCTGAGGGACCGAGTTATCACTAGGCGTTTTTCTCAGACATTCGTCTACCAAATTGCTTCCCTTAATGATGTTAGAACGCGAAGCAGAGAAATTTTTCGATACTGATGAATGTTGCATGGAGTTATGCAATTCTGCGAAAATGCTTATGACTTCCTTCACGAAAGCTCGCAGATAATAAATATAGATTTGCAGTTAGCGTTCAGCGATAAATGTGGAGTCTGTCTCAAGTGATTACGGTCACCAAGTATCTTTTCCTTGTGATATGTTATAAGTGGGCTTTGAGCTGGCAGTTGGAATCTGAATTCTGGCGTTAAACGTGTCGCCGTGACTTGCAGTGATTATTGCAACTTCAGTGGATCAATAAGGAGTTCTCTTCTTATCTTCTCTCGCTTTTCACGTATAAAATCGGAGTTATGGTTGACACATGTTCATACCTGTTAACACTAATCTGCACGACCTACTCTTGGGTGGTCGCCTACGTGCATTTTAGAAAGGCGGCAAGCCTTGGGAGGATGATGACACGCCGCCTGCCACATGTATTGGTAATTTTGTTTGGAGGGTGGTAATTAAATTCAAGCAGTGCATTTGAAAAGGAATAAAAACAGCAATAGTATTCAAATAAATAAAATAAAAAGTAAATAGAGATATTTCTATATAAACCTTTCTTATGTAGTTACTCCCCAATTACCTCCCGGACTAGCTCGAAATAACAGTAGCTGTAGCTGTGACTTCATTTCAAGTGTTAGGCCCTGGCCAGACTTCGCTCAGAAGCGCCCAAAAGCGCCCAAACTTCTTTAACCCTCTCACTCTCTCTCATCTCTCTTCACACGAGAAAGGAAGAGACACCAGAGAAATTTTGGCGCTTTTGAGCGAAGTCTGGCCAAGGCCTTATTGTAGCCCTAAACTATATCTTCTTCTGGATAAAAGCATGAAGTACACGACTGATTTTTGTGCAGCAGTCATAATGCAGCCTATACAGCCAGAAAAGATCTCAGCTTTCAAATGGAGAGGAGAATTCAGACCAGATGCGTGAAAAGCTTCATCTTACCCCGTTGCCAAGCGTCAGGGTAAACACAAGACGCAATTGCACGTAGAAATTACTTACCGTAACGCAATCCTCACAAAGCACAACGTGTTTCCGATGTTTCCATGACAGAAGAACTGCCAAGAATAATGTTTGCGATTGAGATGGTTTTTTTGCAAACTTTTTTGTAAGTGCATCCTATTATGGGGCGCGAAAATAATGGTCGCTCCAGGCATGCGATGCGTTAAGTATCAATCATTACTAGCAGTTAAAGTGTCTGTTTTGGTTAGAGCAATCTTTGGTGAAATGTCATGAAATATGGTCCCTTCATATAAAACAAACTGCAGCTAAAGAGCCATCACGCTTCGCAAGCGATGTCGCTCGCGATGTGACGGACGTCCTTGTTTCCACACCGCTGCACTTGCGATCTTAGCGCACTTTGCAGTCCTTGAGGTAAGGCGCACAGAGCTTTTCGATGTAGTGTTTCAAGCTCATCATTTCGATTATTTCACAGACTGGTTGACGAAGATGTTCAAGAAACAATTTGCCGTCAAGAAGAACACAAATCTTCGCAATTCTGACACGTGAGTTCATTATTTTGTGAAAGTTTTCAATATCTGGATGCGCTGCATCTCTTTGTCTCAAAGTTACATTTATAGAAAAAAGCTCCTCCAGCGTCTTTGTCCCACCTTCACCGAGGTGTTACCGAAGAAAGCGCAATATGCACACGCCAAACTCATCACATTCAATGGAACCACACTGAACCTATACATGGTCGATAAGGAACCAATGTTTTTTGACTTTGATGCAGCCGGAGTTCTTTTTCCAACAATCTACTTCACTTGGATTGCGCCTACCGTGTTTCCAATGCTCATAGTGCACGAAAACGTTCTTCACTACTTGGAAAATGGGGCTGATCTGATGCTGCAAGGTATGTGACGTTTTTGTGATCCTAACAAAAAGCGTTCTACTTTCGACCATCCTTTGCATGGTCTTTTTTTCCTAATTTTGAGTGAAGTTCTTCTGCTTGATGTTGCAATTTATTTTCTATCTTTCTGCTTAAATACCCTAATTTCAGAAAGTACATAGTACAAGGCGCATATTTTCTGAACTTTATCTGCCAAAACACCTGCACATTTCGCGACAATAGAACCCTGTACCGTGCAATGCACTAAAGGAATTCTGCGGCATAGGGAACGACCATAGGTTGCCAGCAACGGTTGTCGGTGTTGTCAATGTTGTCGGTGCTTTCGGTGTTGTCGGTGTTGTCGGGGTTGTCGGGGATAGAGACAGTTTAGAGAGCGCGCGAAACGTGGAGGCTATCATGAGGTCCCACAACGACCGGCAACCTCGGCAACCCCGACAACACCGACAACATCGACAACACGGACAACACCGACAACATGGACAACACGGACAACACCGACAACCGTTGCCGACAACCTATGGCCGTTCCCATAGCGTTCATTTCGCGAGGCATAGCGAAGCGGCTGAGCGGCTCATATAAAAACGGCAAAAAGTGTGCCTGTACTTGGACTTAAAGGGACTTGTTTTCATCCTCTTTTCTTAAACGTCGAATTGCCTAATTATCTCTAGGCCCCATTTTTGGATAAGTTGGCAAGCCATAGTCGTATTTTGCAGGACTCATGCAGAAAGAGTTGATTCCTTTGTACGAGCTTAATCGTGGCGATGCTGTTGCGATCGCTGTCACTGCTGGCGACAAAGTGATGGGACCTATGGCAGTAGGCGTGACACTGATGTCTTCCCAAGAAATGGTAGCGAACAAGTTTGAGGTAGTTCACTTACAGTTAGACAGTGGGCTAGGCAAGCTCTCAATAGCTGTTATAGGGCAGAGGCGTTCAGATTCTGCACATTTACCGCGATCTTTTATGGTAAGTTTCACTGCTGTCATCGTTTACGAAGTTGTCCCAAGAAAAAACTCCTCTCCAAATAAATGAGGCTGTTCTTGTTTTACTAGCAGAGAGCATTCGATAGAGCAAAGCAAGCTCTACAAGACCATTTACGATCCGCCTAAGTCGTGATCCAGGTAAAATCTGGATTCAATAATCGAAGTATTTCAATTACCTTGAAGATCGGATCTCCATATTTTCCTTCAGATAAGTTGGTCATTATAAAGCAGACATATAGTGATATTCAAAAATTTACTTGGTGAATTTTTCAGGGACGCAAATTGAGGAGCTGATTTAGTCCGAAAATACAAAAATATAACTTTTTTTTGTTTTTCTAATGTTGAAATCGGTATTTCTCGATTGCTATGACGCATACAGAGGTGAACTTCCAAGGTTATACTTGCTTGTAGTATACAGTGCATACTAGGGAAGGACTGAGGGCGGAGTTTGCCGTTTTTGGACTATCTTTTGTTTCTCCCTTTCTATGGTCAAAAAAAATTCAGTAAAGGCATATTTGCATACCACTATGTGTCTATTGTATGATGACCAAGATGGAGGTTCGTGTGTTTTTTTTTCGCAAAAATTCAATTTTGATCTAATTTTTCTTGATATTGGCTCCAAACTTCGCTTGGATTACGACTTAGGTAGTTTGACGGTCATTTTGTAGAGCTTGCTTTACTGCTATACTAAGTCTGCTTAGAAAACGAATACAGCTTGATTTATTCAAGAAAGTACTTTTGGGACCCGAATAGAATTATATTTGGGTGTCTGGGAAGGTAATGTTTTGGCCGCCTTCGCCTTCTCAGTCTTCGCGAGATCTATCGGTATTGAAATGCGTTCAATGCAGTTGCATTTGATTTCATAATTCATGCCATAGTAATTCCCGGACTTTCAAAAAAAAACTAGTTGATTCGCATAATGTCACCAAGATTTTTTGTGTGCATCGACATATGCTACAGTGATATCCATTCATTTAGGGAATTCGGATCTCGCATTGCTCCACCTGTGCATGAGCTCGTGAATGTTTTCAACCTCTCAGAAACAAAGCCTTCGACATCCGATGCAAACGATTTCCCTCCACTCGGCTCTCTTTCTGTCAGTGATGTTCAAGTTGACGCTGTTATGCATGGTAATTGCCCAAAATTCATCTCTAACTGGGAAACTTTTATCGTTTACAGATACTGCCCAAACTTCCGATGGGCAAGAGACGGAACACAATGGTGGTGATACTAGTAGGGAAGAACAGCAGCCAGAAGAATCAATGGATGATCTGGTATGTTTGTATGAAATAAGTAAAGAATATTGTAAGGTTATTTTTTTAGCTTTATCGATGCTTTCTCGCTGCATTGAAGTTTAGATTGGCAAGTGTCCCCATTGATGTCGGCCAGGTTTATGATTTCTGAATTCTTTACCACTTACAATATTTAATAGACCATTTTAGTTTTATGCACAATGTTTATTAGCGTGCGTACCTAAAACGAGGAGGCTGGATATGAAGAAAACGAAATACAAGAAGTTCACTGTTTTTCTCGAAGAGGTAAGTCGTTCCACATCCGCGAACAAATGCTTTCTGCGTTTTCCAAGGTAAACAAAGGAGAAGGCGGTCCAATTGTGCAGATCAGAAAGGTCGGGAAAGGAGCTGACATGATAGAAGAGGTTGTGATTTTTTTTTTCGCTTCTCTTTGACACTGTCAGTGTTTAGGTCAACAAGAGTCATCCTGCACTTCGTTCGTTTACAGTAACGGACGAAATTATCAAAGATGAAGTTGAAGAGAAAGGAAAATGTGGGCCAAAAATTCATGAGTATTACTCCGTCAGTCATGCTACGTTCACTACACCTTGTATGCTCATATGTTTGAGTACATTATTGCAGGTAACAGATGCGGTGCTACCAGTATTACGAAGTCGAGGGAACTTTTCTAAAGGCCAATTGTTGGAAAGTACAGAAGTCCGTGAAATAGTTACGGACTACGTAAAGAAAGAAGTCAGTGGAATAAGCTACCTTTTTTCTTTGTTTGTTTGCCATTTTCGCAAGTTTTCTATTCATTAGCAAGAATCCTAACAGGAACTGCAACGCGGCAAGGTGGTTCGACTCGATCCCATTCTTGCGCAGGTTACGAGGATAAATGAGGAGTCTACCGACTGGAATACGTTGATACAAAAAGTGCAGGTAGACATTGACAAAACTGATGTTTTTCCACTTTTTATCACTCTGTTTCATCTTTCATGCTTGTAAACGTGTCAGTGAGGCCTCCTTAACTAGCTAGAACTTCTGGAGGAGGTGCAGATGTGTTTACTGTCTTGACGCTCCGTACTGTGTATCAAGTGGCTTACCCGCCCTTATTTAGAACAAAATGACAAAGACGTTTGTACTACGAATGCCAGATGGTCGAGAACTCATACGAAAAATTAACATGCCCAAGATAATTTTTAAGGTAAATGCTTCACCAACTTAATCACCAGCTTGAAATCAGTTGCATAATCAGGTCGAGACACGATCGGGTAACAAGAAAGTAACGTTAATCAACAACATCTCAGTTTTTGGCATAGATGTAAAGCGACTTTGTCACCAGATTCAGGTTTGAAGTTTTTTCTAGCTTAGGAGGCAAATAAATTTTGCCTTTGAGGTCGAAGCTGCCACAAGTGCCACGACAGCAAATGACGCTGTCAACTGTGAAGGGCCGCAGGTGATAGTACTGGGAAATCAGGTTTGTAACGGGTTTTATTTTGCTGTTTCTTTTAGTGAGAATGCTTAGCGCATGCTATGAAGCTGGTTGAGTTTTTGTAAACAGCTATTTAGGTTACATATCTTGGTGAACTTTTATTGAGAGATTATGGAATCGACAAGAAGTTCATAGAAGGTCTTGATCTTGGAATCAAGAAGAAACGAAAATGATTACTCCAATTAGTAAATGTGTCAAAATGCTCGGGTTCTCTCAATAAATAATTAAATTTCTATTGTGCTTAACGATGCATACTTAGAATTCACGACTTTTTCTCTGCTGTCTTAGCACGAGGAAAGGCTTTCGTATGCAGTCCGGTGGCGATGATTTTGTCAGTAGCTGTATTGATGAGATCAGCCTGGAAATGAGCATTTTCATAGGAGTAAAATCTTGATGGTGTATCTAGAGGTGAGTATCATGACTAATTCGTACGCGCAAAGGTTGGCTATGTTATAAAATAGCCGAAATGCATTTTATAGCAATTTCTTTATGCAACTGCCCTTTTTCCTTTTAAAAATCGCACTGAAAGCAGTGTAGTTACATATAGGCACGTAGCACGCAAGAAAGAACTGCGGCGTAACGGCGTCTCTCCAACCTGCGCTCTTTCGTTTCTCTTACCATCTGCTGTCTCTCCCATGCACGAACTATCTTGGCCGGTCGTGAAGGTGCCCACTCTGCGTGTCATGAATCGTAAATATACTATAGTGTTATATTGTGAAATTCGCAGAACTGAGCTTACAGTCGGATCGGTATCACGATGACTGTAATTTTGACTAAATACCAATAAAAGTTGTCTTTTGCAGTGCATTCAATCCACCACTTGAGTGATGACTTTGATCAGAGAGCTCTACTCACCCTTGTGAATGTTAGTGTTTTGCCCTCACGGATTACTTCAGCATCGATAAGAACTGTTTCACCTTCTTTGGCCGCCGACAGATATCTATGACAAAAATCGAAGTAAACTAGCTAAATAAGAGGAGAGAGAGAGAGAAATAGCACCAACGTGATATGCATATCCACACTAACTCCTGGAAGACCACGGGGAGAAGCCATACAAGCTTGGGTGGTGAACATATCGACGAGGGTGGCTGTGCAACCTCCATGAAGAGTTCCAGCTGGGTTCAGCATTGCTGGTATTACTTCGAACTCTACTTTTACATGTCCTTCCGTAGCGGAAATCGGTCGTATCTGGGATCTACGCATTCGAGTTATGTTATAGACACTTTTGCTTGAGTTCGGAGAATTTCTACCTTTCCGGCAAACTGATGGAAATCCTTTGATTTGGCGCAAGTCCCGATGAATGACTTGAGTCCTTGCAAATACTTGGAGGAGGACATGTTTCTGAAATCGCTTTGAATATTTAACATGTGCTTTCGAAGGCTTACAAACCAGCTGTAGATATAAAGACGCCGAATCTCTAGTGAATTCTTCTTCATTTTGTCGTTCAAGGCAAAAGCAACAAGCAAAATGATAGGAATGGCGAACTCGTCCATGTGTCGCCGCGAGGATGACATTACACTACATACGCAGGATGAATCCTTCAAACTTGCACGACCAATCGCTCGCTTCCCCTCCATCATGTTTTTGTCAAAGCTAATTTGATCTTTCAAAATTACAAAATATGAAATGTTTGCAAGAACACAAACCATGAAGTGTGCGAGAGAGTCCCATGGACAGGCTTTCAAATACCCTCAAAGTTTTGCAGGGTATCTGTCGTAGCTCTCGATTTTAGGTACATTTGCGAATATGGGTTGTTATTATTTACAGCAAGTGGAAAATTATCAGAATTTTTGGAAATGCGGCCTGGTAGAATTTTCTCAGGGGTGCGGGGATTTTGGGTGGGCCCATGGGCCCATATAAATTTTGTAAAACCAAGAATGTCCTTCGGTTTAGCGCCGCTCCTTCCCCCCTCCCCCTCTTGAAAAAATTCTCTCGGACCGCCAGCGTACGACGGATTAGCAGACGTACAGTATAATGGATTTTGATTTTTTTGTCGGCCTCAAAGCTCTGTACTTTCAGGGAGTTTTTAGGGTATGAGTGTCACAAATATTCTTTGTCTTCGACCACCTTAAGATTTCCAAACTTTTCCTGTTTCAGAGCAAGATGAAGAAGCTTTAGTGAAACTATGGTTTCTGTGGAGATATCATCAAACAGTGCTGAAAATGAGGACGTAACTGCTCCAGAAAACTGCAACAGTATTCCAAAATAATATCAGTGAGATTCAAGCGAGATTGTCTGCGATGTTTTGATCTGGCTTTTAGTAGAACACAGAGTTTACTGTGTTCTATTGAAAGCCGCTTGCAATTTTTTTCTATATAGTAGTCCAAATATGCTGTAAGAGCGCATAACTGCTTTAATTTCGAATGAAATGATTCTGCTATGTACGGAGTTTTCCTTTTCTTTGGGCATTTCCAAGGAGATAATTATCTGTTTTCTAATTTAGCTTTTCAAAAATTGAAAAGTGTTGCTACTCCCAATCTATCCAATAATCGTATCCGGCTTTTTTTTTTGAACCGAGAAAGGATATCCGGCTTTTTTTTACCGAGAAAGGAGAGTTCCCAAGTCTGAGTTGAAATTAGCATCTCTACAACAGTTTGAGGCAGTGAAGGATTATTTCAACTGTTGAACTTGGCTTTGCCTCTGCCGTCTAATGGGATTGAACCCTCTAAAAAGAATTTACCTTCTCCATTGCTTCTTGTTCTTGTGCCCAAATATTTTGGTGGTTTAGCTATCGACAAATTATTGCAGTGCACTTATTATCTACAATTTTCAATCCTAGCAGTATTATTAGCAGCGATGTTTTATTCACAAGTGTGTGCTTATCTTAATAGCTTCTCATCGATAGTTTTTGACTGCCAAATTATCAGAACGATTTTATGTGGTTAAGACTTTAGAGCATCTCTGTAAACCACCTGACGAATTGGTTTAACAAATACATGAGTAAAGGAGTAGACTGTTGCCTATTCTAAAAAAAGCTTAGAAATTTTTTTATTAGTACGAAAAATCAATTTGCGGAACTGAAAACAGCAAAACATCTACATGCAACTCTTATACGAAGAATGAGTGATTTGAGGAATTTCAAGGGTCGAAGGAAGCGCACTTGATTTTCGCAAAAATTCATGAAGGGTTGTTGAAAACACAATTAGAGAGAAAACGATCAATGGTTTTCTGTTGGAGACTTTGTTCAAGATTTAACTCCCTTTGAAGTTGAAACATCCCTCTTTAGAAGGATCCATCCCCGGTTGGAGAACAGTTTGCCCAGCGCGCTCGTGTTATTATCCAGAATTATAATGGTTCAAACTAAAATAAATTGGAATCTGAAGGTCTACCAGTCTTCTTCAAATATAGCACAGTAATGTGGCCGACAAGTGGTAAGAGTATGTCCACAGTCTTTATGCGCTACATCGCTTGCTTGACAGCTTCTCGAAACTGCGTCTGATTAAAAAAATGCCCATTTAATGCGATGGCTCGAGAGATAGAGATGGAAAGCTGAGATGAAAGGTGAAAATTCTAGAAGCTTTATTGAGCGGAAGAGAAACTAACAAGCGGCTAAAGAATGAAAACGCCGGAGTGTCATGGACACATCATGTGTCATCTTGCGACGATTTTCTTAAACTAACAGTAATGTATCACTGAACAATGAATTGAACTTCATCGGAGCATTAGAAATTTTCAAGCTACAAGAAAGATGTGGGTGTTTTATATATGACTCTTGAGAGATTCGATTTGCTAACAACAGATTGGACCACTAAAGATCTACTGCGATCGAAGTCCATCTCTTCTTGCTGTCGAGCCACTGTCCAAAGGAAAATCAGCCTATGTCTAAGTTTCACAGTTACTGCAATGTTCATCGGCTTTTGAGCTTATCTACGTGGAATATATCCTCGCTGTATATTACGAATTTTCTATTTAGCCCATCCTTGCGTTTTTGTATGAAATACGTTCTTTTCTTTTATTCTTTTCGACGTCTCCTTCGCTCGTGTAGTCTTTTAGTTTACTATTCTCCTAATGGGATACATCCACGGGATGAAAACAGTAGAAAACGATATCTCCAATGACGATACTTCAAGAAAATTCAGTGAAGTTGTTTTTGAGTTAAACTACATTTCCATATCTCAAACTGTTTTTCCTACTTCTTTGATTCTTTTGATGTTACCAAGTATTGTAAAGAATTTTGTCTAATAATCTTGTTCACTCGACCTCCATGCATTAAAGAAAAAATGTAATGGGTCGAAGTGACATTGCTTATATCAAAAAATTTAGAAGATAATTCTTAAAGTTTATATCGAGCACTCAGAAGCTGACTGAAAGTAAGCAGCTGTCCAATCTAGCATGGAATTAAAGTTGTACCGAAAGTTTTGTCGGTTTTTTTCAAGCGATAAAATCTCGCATAATAAAAACCCAAACGCGTTCAAGAATGCTCGATGCAGGTTCTCCTTCTCTTTCTGACGGTTACATTTTACATAAAATTCTGAATGATTCTCGATAAATGCCAATCCTTCACTCGTCATTTTCATTTATTTGATGTGCGGCTATTTTCCAAAAAAAATTCTGCTCCAAATTTTCGGAAATAGATATGATACAAATAGAGCAAACTCGTATACGGTAGTGCTTTTAGATTCTTTTCATATACCTTTAGAGCTTCAAAAACTTTTTCTCTCGATTTTTGGTAAAGTCATAAGCTTCCATCGTGAAGTCAGACGTGATTGTTATCGAACTCATTTCTACAAAATTGAACTTGATTCGCATTGGGGATTCCGATTTCTGGAATTTTCCATAATTCTGTGCGCCAAACTTGCTCGAAAAAGCAGGGTTTTTTCTCATTTAAGTGATTATTACAAACTTGAAAAACTTGACCTATGAAAACTAAAATGAGCGTAATGTAGCCAAAGCTCTGAATAACATTTCTCAGAGCTTTCTGAAATGGTTGGAATAACATTTCTTAAATTAGGAAAAAAGTTGTGGAAAGTTTTATGTTCAGCTAGAATGCTCAAAGAGCCATATCAAAAAATCGTAGAAGCCGTATATGTTAAACAGAGAATATAACTGTCAAAAAGAGGATAAAAATCTGGATCGAACGATACCTGGTTCGTTCATTGATCAACGTTGCATGAGTTTCGGTCACCGCTCAAATAAAAAATGTCGATATAACCTATTCGTTAAGGCCAATTTCAGAAGTTTAGAACTTTCGTCAAGTCTACGAGGGAAGAAAATTAGAATCAATATAGCACATATCTCAATAATAGATATTCAAGAAGCCCCCTTTGCATACTCCCTCGCCCTGCCCTGGACTCTCGAGGCGAGCGTCGCTGTGGCCGTGTTAAAAGTGCAACGATGGCTCGCTCTCGCGAATTTTTTTCAGCTGTTTTTTCATTTCAACGTTGCTTGATCAGTGTCCCGCATTCGCTTTATGCACTGTGCACTTTTCTATTCACATTGCAAACGCGCACGTCCACTCGTCTCGTCCCGTCGCTCTCGTCGGTCGCCTAGCAAAAGTGCATTCGAGAAAAATTCGCTGCAACAAAAAGACGATTTCGATGCGTGCACGACGACAGTGTTTGTGGCCCGAGATGAAGAGATTGATTCAAAATAAGACAAATGATGCGAGTGCTCGACAAATCGCATTCGGACCAAGTCGAAAAGTTCCGCATTATGCGACAACTTTGAGCTCTTGCAGTGGCCTTGATATGTGCAGTAACCCAAAGTAATGGTCTTAACTAGTAGGAAAACATGACAGCTTATTCATCAACCATGACCGGTAGTAAAACAAAGATCTTTTTTTCAATGTGTTTTCTTTTATTTCATTTTTCATTTACACTATATTGTATTATGTTATATACCGCCCGGTCTTGTCAATGATGTATTATCAGCATGATCACTTATCCTTTGTGCCAACTCTCAGCCCCATAGCTCAGACTTTGCAAAAAATCGATAAAATCGATATCGATCGGCAACGAAAAGTTGCCTGTAACGCCTGCCCCGCCCCGCAATCTATATGCGATTGGTCCGGATCATTCCAAAAATTGAATTTTCTATTAGGAGCATGCGTACAGACAGACACATAGACAAACAAACAAGCAGACATAAGACAATCACATAGACGGACAGAACAAAAGACATTCAGCTTTTTTTTTATACAGATGTTAATATTATTGATATGTCACTTGGTTGATATTCATTTATCTATTTATATGATATCTATCTACTTGAAATTCATAAAAAATATCCCAAGATCGTTTCCAAGTTCCGTCTGTTTTGAACCTGGGCATTCTTCGTATGTATTGTGTGTTCTTCTTGTGCCGTACAGGTTGGTAGGTGGTCCTTTATTAGTCAGTATCAACGGCCTTACGTTTCAACGCTTTCGTCTTCGTCAGAGGCCTAGAATGGTTCTGAGCTTCATCAGTGAGTCCAGCCCACCAAATGTCTTCCCTAGTTCTGCCAGTTTTTTTGAGCTGCAACGCACGTTACATTGGGGAAACAGGAAGAATGCTTAG